GGGGGAGAGCCAGCCGATCCGTTATGGCTAACCATGCAGTTTGAGTCTCAGCTCCGGTGGCTTGAGAAACACAAAGGGTGCTTGTGTGTACATGCCCCAAATCCCAAAAGGCAAGAGAAATGGAGAAAGGTTGGAGGCAAGAGTTCTCCATGGCAGGTGCTTTCTCACTCTCCCTCTCTCTCTTTCTCTGGTAAGAGCACACACTCTGGCAAAATTAGGAAAAAATAAATAAACACTCCCCAAGGTAGAAATAGTTGTCTCTGGAGAGTAAGAGCTAGCTCAGAGAGAGAAAAGTGAATTTTCATCATGACAATGTGTAACACTCAGGGGAGGCTGGTCTTTCTGAGGCGAGGAGGGCGGGGACCTTGCAGCCACAGCTTTCCCCAAGCGCAGTCCCTAGTGTGAGGCAGGGCTTCCTTACAGGGCTTCCCTAGCGCATCCCCTGGTGAGAGGCAGGGCCTCCCTAGCATGATCCCTGGTGAGAGGCAGGGCCTCCCTAGCATGTCCCCTGGTGAGAGGCAGGGCCTCCCTAGCGCGTCCCCTGGTGAGAGGCAGGGCCTCCCTAGCATGTCCCCTGGTGAGAGGCACGGCTTTCCCGACCCCATACCTTGGTTTCCTCAACGCTGCCACCCCAGTTTCCCCAGACAGCTGCAGGGGGTAGGTGTGAGGGGTTCCCAGTGAGGTACCACCTCCAGCCCCAGGGCAATGAGCTTTCCAGTCTTCTCTGGAGAATGGGGATGAGAACAGTGAAAAGGACACAGACTTTTGGGCTGTTTTCTAGTGACCTACGGTATGACGAGTCCCAGCGCCTATTACTACACCACGGTGATGTCTGAACTCTTCCTGCACACCCCGTCGGCCGCTGGAGTCTCCTTCCAGACCATCAGCAGCATGGCGGACTTCTGGGACGTGAGTATGAGATCGCCTCTGCCCTGCTCCCTCTCCTCGGTGGCCAGAGTTCAAGGTCAGATCATGGGTCAGAGCGTAAGCCCAGAGACCGGGGAGTTGGAACTGGGTTGAGTCAAGGGGTCAGGCTTTTATGGGTGAGGCTGGAGGTTAGGCAGAGGTAGGTGATGATCAGGGAATGCTGATCAGGGAATCAAAGCAGAGCTAAACTCACACTGGGAGTCAGAGGTAAGGCTGAACTTCAAAATATCTTTTAAATAAAGACTGAGGCCATGTCAGGTCAGGACCCAGTCATGGTTCGTGGGTCATCTGAGGACGCCAACAAAAGCAGACTGGAGACAAGCTGGGGGTCAGGGAGTGAGGGCAAAGGTTCCTCTAAGGGTCGGGGGTCAATACGAAGCTGGGTCAGGTCCAACCCAGCTGGTGGTCCAGTTTGCCCAGGGCCCGCTCCTGGATGGTTTGTACTGGACCACATGGTACAACAACCAGAGCCTGGGCCACGGCTCCCACTCCTTCATCTACTACGAGAACCTGCTGCTGGGGGCCCCGCGGCTGCGGCAGCTGAGGGTGCGCAATGACTCCTGCGTGGTGCACGAGGACTTCCGCGAGGACATTTTGAGCTGCTATGATGTCTACTGAAGAGCGGCTCCCCTTTGGGCCCCTCAACGGCACAGCGTGAGTGAGCCAGCCCCACTCCCGATGTCCTAGAGCTTGCCCCTCTGAGCCTGGCATCATCCCAAGGCATAGAAGCACTTCCGCCAGGGTTTGCAGAGATCTGGGGAGACTTGGGGGAGGGAGCCCGAGTCCCAGCTGTGATTGTTCAGAGACCTCGGTCTCTGTCACTCAGGAGCAGAGGAGGCATGTCAGCAGACAGAGCCACCGCTTCTACACATGGCCTTGTTTGCACACACGGTCACAGCCACTTCCACTCTGCAGGGAGTCCTTCCGGAGGAAGCACGCTTTCTTGTCTAGAAGTCCCTCGGGGGTATGAAAAATGGGAGAGGTTGACACTGTCACACAAATCACAGTTGGAAAGTCTGGTCCTTGGGCGGTTCGCATCCCGGACCCGGTGGCTTAAGACTCACGCCGGGCGCATGTGCGTGGGTGCCCAAGATCCCGAGAGGAGAATAGAGGAGAAGGGATTGCGGCGTGGCCATCCCCCCTGGGGGGTGATTTCTCACTTTCTGTCTCTCTGTCTCTTTCTGTCTGTCTGGCGAGCGCACACGCCCTATAGCAAAAAACTTCTCAAAAAAAAAAAAAAAAGAAAGAAAGACAAAGAAAGTCTGGTCCTTGGGACTGAGGAGAGAGAGACAATGAGTTGAGGATGGATGAGGAATTAGGGAAGGGAAAAGGGTAGACAGGACAGCAAAGAAGGGGGAAGGAAGAGAGCCCGGGGTGGAAAGGCCAGGGGACAGGCCAGAGGGCCGCGGGATTAAGCAGGCAGGTGTATCTTTTCCGGATTGCACAGTGCAGGGTCTTCCCTCATGGCAACTGCTCAGGCAGGAGCCCAAAGTGGGCCTCAATTTTGTCTTCCAGGGCCTTGAATGACATAGTGAAAAAGTAGACGACTTAGGTCTGAGTTTCGGTTTTGTCACGACATAGCAGGATTACTTAGGAAATGTCTGAGTCTCAGTCACCTCTTCTGCAAAATGTGGGTAATTGCCCTTCCTTCTCAGTGGCTAGTATCAAACAAAACACTACCTGTGAACTCTCCATGTGCTCTAATACATAGCATCTGCATTTTACATGTGAACACATACAAGGTCTATTTCCTACATACTATGGGGTGTGAAACTGTAAAGCCCAGACAGCCACGAAGTGCTGCCATTGCCTCGGGAGTCGCGCTTCGGGGCTGGCTCAGCCCTCTCTCTGCTCAGATGGCTTTTTCTGTGGCAGGTGGACGTACCACTCGCAGGACGAGCTGGGAGGCTCCTCCCACTGGGGCAGGCTCACAAGCTACAGTGGAGGTGGCTACTACCTGGACCTGCCAGGATCCCGCCAGGCCAGTGCAGGGGAGGTGGTTACTCCCTGTCCCTGCCAGGATCCCGCCAGGCCAGTGCAGAGACACTCCGGGACCTTCGGGAGGGGCTGTGGCTGGACAGGGGCACTCGGGTGGTCTTCATTGACTTCTCGGTCTACAACGCCAACATCAATCTTTTCTGTGTTCTGAGGTAGGCGCTCTTGTTCTGCTGCGTCCCTCCCGCCATGCTTTCTGGCTCCTTTTTCCCGATTCTTCCCTAAACTTGCACCCTGGGGTGGAGGTGAGGAGGAACGTGGGTGGGAAGAATTATCCCAGCCCAGGCCGCAATCACATCTCCTCGCCTCCAGACTGGTGGTAGAGTTTCCGGCTACCGGAGGTGCCATCCCATCCTGGCAAATCCGCACGGTGAAGCTGATTCGCTACGTCAGCAACTGGGACTTCTTTATCGTGGGCTGCGAGGTCATCTTCTGCCTCTTCATCTTCTACTACGTGGTGGAGGAGATCCTAGAGCTGCACATCCACCGGCTCCGCTACCTCAGCAGCGTCTGGAACGTACTGGACCTGGTGGTCATCTTGGTGAGGGACAGACGGGGAGCAGGAGAGGGAGCCACTCTGATGACCTGAAGTCCTTCCCTTCAGGGAGAGAACTTCCCATCTCCTCCTTCTGACTTACGGTCAAATCGCTGTGGAGCAGCGCCCTAAACAAGAGGCTGATGTCCTGGGCCCGCCCCTGGAATCCCTGTCTCCTACATCTGTGCTTCCCACCTGGGCCTTGCCCTTTTCTCTCTGCACTTGGTACTCTGTGCTCGAGCTGATGGCCTTTATGGCCTGCCGCCTTGAAACGCCTGCCTTTTCTATTCAAATATTCTGCCTTTCATCTTTATTTCCTATTAATAGAACACGTCCATTTCCTCACCTAGGCTTAGAAGGGGTGGAGGTGGGGAAAGAACGGATCTTGGCTCGAGTTCCCTATGGCCCTTTATAGTCTGTCTACACTGGCCCCTAACCTCTTGGGCTTTCGCATGGTGAAGACGACGACTAATGATCCTATCCAGTTCCACTGGAACCTGGGCTGGGAAGGGTGCTTTTCCCCACTTGTCTTATCTACCCAGCTCTCCCTGGGGCCTCAACTTTGAGCTTCCCTTGAGAACCCCTTGACTTCTCTGTTGCCCCATGACCCTTGTGTGACAGCTGTCTATCATGGCCGTGGGATTCCACGTATTCCGAACCCTCGAGGTGAATCGGCTAATGGGGGAGCTCCTGCAGCAGCCAAACACCTACGCCGACTTCGAGTTCCTCGCCTTCTGGCAGACACAGTACAACAACATGAATGCTGTCAACCTCTTCTTTGCCTGGATCAAGGTACCTGGGGGTTCCCCACCCCCAGTGCTGCCCCAGGGCTCTCCTCCTCCTCTCCCCAGTACCTGGCTCATTTTCCTTCTCTGGTTTGGCAATTCCCCATGGCTTCCACAGACCCCCGCAGTAGATTTTTCAATGCCTTTCTCTTTTCCGCCTTTGCCGCTCGGTTCAACACGGCCCCTTCAGATATTCAAGTACATAAGCTTCAACAAAACCATGACGCAACTGTCCTCCACGCTGGCCCGCTGTGCCAAGGACATCCTGGGCTTCGCTGTCATGTTCTTCATCGTTTTCTTCGCCTACGCCCAACTCGGCTACCTGCTTTTTGGGACCCAAGTGGAAAATTTTAGCACTTTCGTCAAGTGCATGTGTGTGTCCTGACCCCTCCACTCCTCCCTGGCCCCTCATCCCCTAGCCGTGGGGGGGTGTGTCCTCGGGGAAGGTGGGTAGGTGTGTGCATCTGTGTGTGTGTCTGGAAGCCCTGGTGTGTGCGCTCAGGTAATCGATGCACCTGCTGTCTCTAGAAGATTGGGTTCGAGTGGAGTGAGGGGTCCTATCTATAGTTAGGAAGGTGGCATGGGGCGTGGACTGGGGCACCTGCTGACTCTAGAAGATTGGGTTCGAGGGAACCAGCAGTTAGCGTAATGGCTATGTGGCTGGACTCCCACGTAGTCGACCGCGGTTCGTGTCCCGGACCCGGTGGCTTAAAACTCACGCCGGGCGCGTGTGCGTGCGTGCCCAAGATCCCGAGAGGAGAATGGAGGAGAAGGGATTGCGGCGTGACCATCCCCCCTGGGGGGTGATTTCTCGCTTTCTGTCTCTATGTCTCTCTCTGTCTGTCTGGCGAGCGCACGCGCCCTACAGTGAAAATCTCTCCAAAAAAAAAAAAAAAAGATTGGGTTCGAGTGGAGTGAGGGGTCCTATCTATAGTTAGGAAGGTGGCATGGGGGGTGGACTGGGGAAGGGTTTGGTTAGGCTCTGGGCGAAGCCTAGATCTGGTCTTTCAGTTTTACTCAGTTCCGGATAATTCTTGGGGACTTTGACTACAACGCTATCGACAATGCCAACCGCATCCTGGGCCCTGTCTACTTTGTCACCTACGTCTTCTTTGTCTTCTTCGTGCTTTTGGTGAGGGTCCCTCTGAGGGATGGGTACATGGAGGCCCACCGGGGTAGAGTGTTGGCAACTGTTGTGTTCCTCATTCAGAATTATGATGGGCTTCTCAAATCCGGGGTGGAGGGTGAGGAGAGGATGACAGTCTCCTGAGAGTGGCAAAAGTGGTCAGATGGCATGGTCAAGCAGAGTGTAAGAGAACATGCAGATCCCCTCAGGAAAATCAAAGCTCCATTCCCAAAGGCTGGAACGGGAGGGAAAGGTGCCTCGTGAGGAGGGGCAGCTGCACCGGAAGCTTCTGTGCCTGTTCTCCAAGGCTCCCCGTCCTCCGGGGCGCTCAGCTCGTTTCAACTGTCACCACTTGGTAGTCCTCTCCCTGCCAACCATGGGAGACGGGAGTTAGATTTTTATTAACAAGGCTGGCAAGTTTCTTTACTGAGCCATGGGTGGGGTGCAGCAGGTCGGGGTAGAGGGCAAAGAGAGGAAGGGTGTGCTCTCCCCTTGAGAAGCTTCTGGCACCATTGATCGCCAGGTGCTTAGACGGAGGAGGTCTGTGGCATATGTCGGGGGCTCTTTGTGGTTGGAAAAGTCACTGCAACTGAGAGTGAGGGCATGAGGGTAACGAGGGAGCATGGCCGAGCCTGGGCAGAACTGTGCCGAAGGCTGGGCTCCGAGGTCCCCCCCAAGGTGGGGACTTGGTGGGCTGCAGAGCTGGGGGTGAGAGCATTGGAACACGTATGGGGACATTAGTGGGGTCAGTGGGCTCAATGCTTCCAGTGGATCTGGGGGTGAGCACCCAGGTCCTTGTTCTATCCTCCAGAACATGTTCCTGGCCATCATTAATGACACCTACTCGGAGGTCAAGGAGGAGCTGGCTGGACAGAAGGATGAGCTGCAGCTTTCTGACCTTCTGAGACAGGTGACTCCTTGGTTTCCCTGGGCCACAATGGCATTAGGCCCCAACCGAGGCTCTGACTGGTATGGTATCTGCGCCCTCCTGTGCCTTGGCCTTAGCCCTGGGAGCCTGGCCTCCTGCGAGTGGGAGTGGGTGCCAGAGACAAGGAGGAGGCTAAGGAACTGGTGTCAGCATCCTCTCCCTTTCAGGGCTACAACAAGACTCTACTAAGGCTGCGTTTGAGGAAGGAGCAGGTGTCGGACGTGCAGAAGGTCCTGCAGGGTGGAGAGCAGGAGGTCCAGTTTGAGGAGTTCACCAACACCTTGAGGCAGTGAGCAGAGATCCAACCTTCTTTAATATCGGTCTATACGTCCTGGGCCCGCCATTGTCCTTCTTCTCCCGAGAAGCCTTGGATCGTAGCCTGTGGGCCAATGACCAGGACTTGCAGGCTCTGACCTTCAGGTCTTCAGGTCTCTGATCCTGGCCCTCTGAATCGTGCCTTTGGTTTAAGGCCTTGTCTATAATACTCTGGCCCTTACTGAACAACTCTTAGGACTGATGTAATAATATGATTCCTTAGTCGCTGCATGCATCCTCACCCCCACAAAACTGTGATCTGTGCTCTACGCTCTCTTGTGGACCCTGGTCAACTTCTTCAGCCATTCTCTCTCTGCTTCCCAATCAAATAAACAAACAAACAAAACAAACAAACAAACAAACAAACACTGAACAAGCATGTTGGGAGCACTGGCTGCGGTGCCTGCGGGCACTCACAGGGAACATTGCTAAATGAGATGGCCTTTGTCCTTGAGGAGCTCACAGACATGTAAGCAAATACAGTGAATCACAGAGTCAGTTCGACAATAGAAATGACTAGAAGAGTGGGGGCATGGAGTAAAGTGAGTGAGCGATTGTCAAAGGGTGCATGTTTTCACCAAAGAGAGACAAACGGGGGGAAGCACCCCACAGTGGGGCATGGTCACACTGTAGTCCCTTCTCCATGTCTCCACCCTGTTGGGATTTTGGGCACAGGCACACACGCCTGTGATTTTTTTCCCAAGCCCCTGGGGATGGGATTTGAGTTACGTTCAGACATGTGGGATCCCTTACCACTAAGCCACAGGGCGGGCCCTCGATTCTATCTTTGAGCTTAGGGATGGCTTCCTGGAAGAGGTGATGGTTGAATAGATAAACAGCTCTATTCTCCAAGTGGACAAGCAGAGAAAGTCATTCCAAGAAGAGATGAAAGCATACACACAGGCATAGGGGTCTGAACCCAAGCAACATCCACAGAAATAAGTCGCCAAGTGCTGTTAAGGTACCAAATAAAGGCCATTATAGAATGAAATGCAGCCAGGGCAATGGGCAAGGGCCCATTTGGGAGAGGCCTTGTACACTAGCATTCTAGCCAAAGAATGGGGTTCCCAGGAGGAAGTGTATGCAGAGAAGGGGTATATAGGTCTGTGTTTTACAAAGGTTAATTACTCTCGCCGTATTAGGGAGGACAGATTTCAGAAGTAGGGACTGAAGAGGAAGCTAGTGAGTTATTCTGAGGCAAAGAGATCTTGTAATAATTGCCGTGAGGGGGCAGCGGCAAGTGGCCTGGTGGTTGGGGCACTAGATTCCCACGTGGCTGACCACAGTTCGAGCGCTCGACCTAGTGGCTTGCTTTCACACTTCCCTGTCTTTCTCTCTCTGATAAAATCAAAAAATAATAATAATAGATAAAATAAGTAAACGATTCTTTAAGAAAAAATAGTAATTGCCACAGGGGATAAGGAGGTCCTGAACCAGTCAGCAGCAGCAGCAGAAAGAATCAATTTCTTGCAGGTAAAACTGCTAGACTTTGGAGAGCCTGGTTTTCCCGTGTAGTGCCCTCTTTCTCAGAAAGCAAGGCTCAGAGAGCAAGACTCTTGCCGGAAGAATGGAGGCAGCACACTGCAGCAGGCTGAAGTCATGTATCCCCCTGTTCTCCGCAGGCTGGGGCATGCAGAGCATGAGATCTCTGCCTTCGCCAGGTTTGACCGGGATGGGAATCACATTTTGGATGAGAAGGAGCAGGAACAAATGCGACGAGACCTGGAAGAGGAGAGGGTGAGCCTGGCTGGTTGGCAGAAAAGAAGTATAAGGGGGCCTGCAGGTGGTGTGGTGGTTAAGGCGCTAGACACTCCCACATGACTGACTATGGTTCGAGTCCCAGACCTGGTGGCTTTGCTTTCTCACTTTTCCTCTGTGTGTGTGTGTGTGTGTGTGTGTGTGTCTAGTCACATTAAAATAAAGGAATGAATAAATAAAATTAAATAAGCAATTCTTTAAAAAAAGAAAGAAAACCTCTGTAAGGAAATTGCTTTTGTTCTTCTTTCTCCCAGCCCACCTAGAACACAAACCCAAAAAGAATATCCTCCCAAAAAAGGGCAGGAAAGAATTCTAGAATAGTGGCTCTTGAGCCAGCCATGGTACGGTGTTTAAGGCAGTTGGATCCCACTAACCAAATACATGGTTCAAGTCCCAGACCCATTGGCTTGAAAAACACAGGGCATGTGTTCATGTGCATGCCCAAAATCCCTAAAGGAGAGAAAAATGCAGAAGGGACTGTGGAGTGACCATGCCCCATGGCAGGGGGTTGCTTTCTCACTTTCTCTGTCTCTCTCTAGCAAGTGTATGTGCCCTCTAGAAAAATGAAAATAATAATTTTTAAAAAGTGTGTTTCTCAAACTTACATATTAGAAGGCCCTTTAAAATCTCTCAGGTCACAGGGATCAGCAGGTGGTGTAATAGTTACATCACTGGACTCCCATGTAGTTGACTGCGGTTTGAGTCCCGGACCTGGTGACTTAAAACCCAGGCCAGATGCATGTGCATGCATGCCCAAACTCCTGAGAGGAGAATGGAGAAGGGACTGTGGTATGGCCATCCCTCCTGGGGGGTCATTTCTCACTTTCTGTCTGTCTGTCTGTCTCTGTCTCTTGGTGAGCACATACACCCTATAGCAAGAATCTCTCTCTTAAAAAAAAATCCTCAGGCCACACACTCTAGACCAATTAAATAGAAATCTCTGTGGAGCCCAGAACTGAGTGCTGTTTTAAACATCCCTGGTGATTCCAAATCACAACTAAGGCTGAGAACCATTGCTCTAACTCAGCCTTAGGGGAAAAGACCAATTGCCCCCCAATCCCTAAAGGTTCCCTCTGAGGACTTACCTTCTCCTTGGGACTTTTCTTTCTTTCCTTCTCTTCTTTTCTTTTTCTTTCTTTCTTTTTTTTTTTTTTTTAATAAATTTTTGCCTTAGAGTGCATGCACTCACCAGAGAGAGACAGAGACAGTGAAAGGGAAAGCAAAAAATCACCCCCCAGGGGAGATGGCCACGCTACAATCCCTTCTGCTCCATTCTGCATGTATGTGTAGGTGCCCAGCGTGAATTTTAAGCCACTGGAACCGGTCCTTGAACCTTGGCTGGCCGTGTGGGGATCCTGCAGTGTAACCATTTTGCCATCTGCTGGCCCCTCTCCTTGAGATTTTCAAACTCTGATCCCATTGTCCTTACCACGCCTGTTTCATCGCTACTCGGTGTAGACCAGAAAGTCAAGAGCAGAGTGACAGCAACCCAGAGAGAAAGTGCGAGAAAGCCGGTGCTGTCTTTCCTTTCCCAAACTGAGGGGCCTCGAGCGACCTCGGTAGTCAAGGCTTCAGGGAGCTCTGCTTTTGTTTCCTGGGGAGGTGACTCCCTCTCCAGAGGCTGGTCCAGCACCACCACCTGATCCTATTGTCTCCACTTTGGTAAGGAAGGGAAATCCCAAGAACTGGAAACCATGGCTTGGCCTGGAGAGCCCAGTATAGCAGGTGAGGGAACAGGAGCTGAGGGCTTCCCAGAGTCATCTTCTCTCCTCTAAACTCTGCTTCCTCATCAGGTGGCTCTCAACGCTGAGATTGAGAACCTGGGCCGGTCCATTGTGAGTAGCTCACCAGGAGAGTCGGACCCAGAGGCTGCCAGTGCTGGTGGCTGGGTCTCAGGAAAAGAATTCTATAGGTGTGTGCTCCCGGGGGCCCAGGGCTGGCTAGGTAATATCCTGTCTTCAGCTTCTTTCCAGTTTCCCAACTCCCTGTCCTTGCCCAAGAGCCTCTGCTCCCCTTTAACTCTCCCTGTGAGGCGGGGCCTTTACCTCCATTTTTTCCCTTTTGACACACACCGTTCTGCTACCCTGCCCCTGCAGACTCCCAGCCTCCAACACGTATTTCTGCCCTCATGGTCTCTCAATCCTGCACAGGCTCACCAGGAGAGTTCTGCAGCTGGAGACCGTCCTGGAAGGAGTCCTGTCCCAGGTTGACACTGTGGGCGCAAAGTTGAAGATCCTGGAGAGGAAGGGGTGGCTGGCTTCCTCTCCGGGTGTGGTAAGTGGCCCTCCACCTGGGTCCTCTGAACACCCCACAACTGGACTCCACCATCTTTAGCACTCAGTTGATGGGGGAAGAACATTGTGAAAGATTCGTCTCCAGGTTCCTGAGGAAACGGGTTCACAGTGGTCAGTGTCCCAGTGGAGGTGGGGACAGGGAAGCAAGGCCTGAAGGTGGTTGCACTGGTCTAAGAGCTGTCTTGGCCTCTAGGAGACAGACTGTTCTTGTCATTCCGGCTGCTAAAACACACTCGCACAGACTGGGTGGCTTATACACAATACAAACTGATTTCTCACAGGTTAGGCCATTCGGAGGTCTAAGATCAAGGGGCCAAGGGACCAGCAGTTAGCATAATGGCTATGTCGCTGGACTCCCATGTAGTCGACTGCGGCTCTCAGATAACTATAGCAAGTTAAAAATAATAATAAATAAAAATTTAAAATTCTTTAAGAAATTAGTTTATAGAGACCAGCAAATGGTGTAGCAGTTATGTCCCTGGACTCCCACATGGCTGACTGTAGTTGGAGCCCCGGACCTGCTGCCTTGAAACTCAAACTGGGCGTGTATTACTTATGATCCCAGGAAGAGAATGGATTGTGGCATGGTCATCCCTCCAAGGGGGTGATTTCTCACTGTATTTCCACCCCCAACCTCCACACATGCTCTAACACACAAAAAAAACCTAAAAAAAAAAAAAAAAAGATCAAGGGGCCAACAGATTCTGTAACTGGTAAGCGCCCACTTCCTCGGTCATAGACTTCCGACTGCGTTCTAAGTGGAAGGGGCAGGGAAACTCTTTTATAAGGATGCTAATCTCATTTGCGTGGCTCCATCCTTATGACCAAATCACCTACCAAAGGTGCCTCCTAATACCCTCGCACCGTGGGGTAGCATTTCCAACACAGGCATCTGGGGAGGGATGCAAATAGCATCTGTGAGAGCCGTCTGCGTTCTCTGGAATCGGATCCAGAGAAAAAGAGAGTGGGACACAAACCCCTCCTTCAAGTCATCTGTCCCTTTCCTTCCAACAGGAGGAAGAAGCGGTCTGGAAACACCTGCAGCCAGTCCCAGCTGTGACTCCAGCTCCGTGGGGAGTCAGGGTTGGGCAGGAGAGCAGAGGAGGAGCCCTGATGCACCACACAGTAGGCTCCTCTCTCCCTGCCCCCCGGGAGGCCACCTCTCCACACACCCTCCACTTCTAGGGTGGCAGGTCCATCACGGCTGCTGCCGAGTCGCCCCGGTGTCCGGTCTTGTGCCACAATGTTTCTGCATGTAGCTGGGCATCTTGCGTAGACTTGTCACTTGGGTTTCTGTGTGTAGCCACATAGTTCTTTGAAAATGCATTTCCCACTGGACTTCTTACTCCCTGTGCCCTGAACTCTGCTGTGTGAAAATAAAAGAACTGCCAGTAACAAACAGGATAAAGGAAGGGAGGGTAATGGCTCTCCCTAAGCACAGGGATAGCCATGGTTTGTGATAAAGGTAGAAGCCAAGCGCCTATGTCGTTCTAGGTGTATTTCTGCTTGCCCAGCAATCTTATTCTTCATGCCCAGTAAGCACCCATGGGGGTCCTGTCTTCCCCCTGTACGTTTGCCTATTGAAAGGGGTAAGCCTCCAAGAGGGGCTTCAGTGAGCTCTAACATTGCAGAGGAGTTAGTTCAACTAGATAAACGCTCTTCTGGAGGAAACTGCCTCCTGGAATTCCACTGAACACTTGAGCTGAGGGGATGTAAACTAGGAAGCAAAAAAGGAGCCTGAAGAGAACGGGGCAAGGAAAGGACCTCAGGATTCAGAGATCTTTGGGTAATATTTGGCAGGCTCTGATTCTGTTCTTCCATAGGACAACGTGGGTTTCCTTGGCAACTACCAATAAAACTCCTTAGGAAAACCAGGACTTTGCAGTTGATTCTGGGATTGTAGAGGGAAGAGGGGCTAGAACTGTGGGCCATCCCAGTGCCCCAGCCAGGGCGGGTTCACACTCTCTGGGAGGTGCAGAGTTCAGCTGTGACAATGTGAAGGAGCTGGGTTATCCCAGGAGTCCTGAAATAACGTCAGGCTCAGAGGAATGGTTTCAAATGGCGCACAGGATCACTGCACCATCAGGAAGAGAGGGGATTTAGGGAGACCCACTGAGGGCGGACAGAAGTTAAGAGGGCTGGGTATGTTCAGTTCGAGTGTGTGTCCTGGGTGTGCTGGGGCTGTGTACGGAGGGTGTGTGTGTATGTGGTCCACAGGCAAGGGGGTGGTGACAGTGGAGGGCAGAATGCACAGGGGCAAGACAAGAAAATCCTACACCAAGATTTTGCACCTTCCCTTACACCATCACCACTTTGCCCCATCCATCCCCTTTGCCCACTCCTCATCTCCCACCCATTAAGCACTATGCGCCCAAGAGCTGTGAAACAGCGAACAGCGATGAAGATAGTCCGAGTGTATTCTCAGCTCTAAAAAAGTGAAGATCTAAGCTCCTTCCAGAAAGGCTGTATCCACAGAAGAGGATTAGGTGCCAGGCTGCAGCGTATGAAACAGCGGTTGATGAGCCGGTGTTCATCCAGGACGCTGGGAGGGAAGAGTCCGCAGAATCAGGGATCACAAAGGTTCCCCAAAGTCTGGATAAAATTACCCCAAAGCATGGTATCATGGTAATTTCCCTGAGCAATCATCTGATGACTAACGCCAGCCGGGGCGGGGACAACCTCTCTCCGGTGACAGGTCGGTTGCCCACTCCAGGCTCGACTCACCAGACCCGTGAGCCGCGAGTCGTACGAGCAGTCTCTTCAGGGTGGGGCTGCATGAAGAAGCGCATCCTCCGTCCCTGGCGTCACGACTCTTGCAGCCTGTCGATTACGTCGCCTGCCTTTGCTTTGGCGCTGGCTCGTTTACGCTTCGTTCTAAGTCACACAGAGGGGCTGGGTTTGCCGAGGCGCAGGTTCACCGGCCGCGAACGCGGGGCGGGGCGCGCCCAGTGCGCGTGCGCAGACGGCCCCGCACCGGAAGCAGCGCAGAGCCAGGCATGGCGGGGGGGGGCGGTCCCGGCGACCCGACGTGACGAGCCCGCTCGAGGTACTCGGAGTGGATGGGGATGACGCGTCCTGTGGGGGACCTGGGGCTCCGGTGGGGACCCGGGGTGGCAGGGCTGAGTGTGTGGTCGGCTCACCTGGCGGGAGCGGCCAGGTCGGAGGGGCGCACCTGTGACCGCGGTCGGGTATGAGCGAGTGGCCGGTGCGGGTCAGAGCCGGCCTGGCAGATGAGCAGGGACGAAGTGCAGAACTTGAAACGATGGCCGGTGGAGAACGGAGCCGACCTGATGGAGGGAGGACAGGTGGAGGGAAGAGGAAGAGGCGTGCTCTGGCGGGTTAGGACCCGGCGCGGCGCAGGGCACTGACTGCTCCTCCCTCGGCGCAGACGATGCCGCCGTGGAGACCGCCGAGGAAGCGAAGGAGCCCGCCGAGGCTGACATCAACGAGCTCTGCCGGGACATGTTCTCCAAGATGGCCACGTACCTGACTGGGGAGCTGACGGGTGAGGCGGGTCGGGGTCGGTCTGGGTGGGCTCGAGCCCCGCGCACCCTGAGACAGGCCTGTTAGAGGTCTCAGGAGGTCGTGAGTAGGACAGAGAGAGGGCCATTCCGCCCCTGGAGAAGCTCATGAACCACGTCCATAAACAAATAATACTGGGTACCACTCTGCAGGCCTCTGAGTAGAGACTGACGGTGAGAAAATAAAGAGTTAATATCTAGCAAACATATCGAGCAACAGTAACGGAGCTGTGCTTCCTTGGGAAAGGTGTATTTTGAGCAAAGGAGCGAAGGGAATGATTGGCAGAAAAGGGAGACATGGTCTAACTCCTGCGTAAGGTGGTATAATCAAGCTGTTTGCTTGGCTAAAACAGAAGGTGTTTTAGAGGTAGAGAGAAATGAAATTAGGGAATGGGGAGCCATCTGCTGTTTTGGAGGCCTGTTTGGTTGACCTGAGGATTTGGTGACCCACACTTTAGACATGATTAGTCTGGGTCCAGTTTGTGTTCCACGTGGACACATGACCTGTGTATGAAGGAGAATCAGAAAGTAAAGTCTGGGGGCCAGCAGGTGGCGGTCGTAGCAGTTATGTGACTGGACTCCCATACGGCAGACCATGGTTCAAATCCTGTGGCTTGAAAATTATGCCGAGCGAGTGTGCGTACATGGGCAAAATCCCAGGAAGAGAATGGAGGAGATTGTGGGTGGCCATCCCCCCTGGGGGGTGATTTCTCACTTTCCTTCTCACTGTCTCTGTCTCTCCCCACCAAGCACACATGCCCTAAGGCAAAAACCTCTTTAAAAAAAAAAAGAAAGAGAGAAAGTGAAGTCTGGTCCAGAATGGCTTCTCTTAAACATTTAGTACATTGTTTCACTTCCCCAGGAAGTGTTGTGAGCTAACTTTGTGCACCAGCGTCTATGAAGAAAGGCTTGGTACAGAATAGAAGAGTTTGCAAACCTCTAATTTTTTAGCCTGATGATTTATTTGTTGGTTTATTTCCAAGTGACAGAGCCTAGGTTTGTGGCTTCTCTTTAAAAATTCCAAAAACTTAGCAATACTGGTCTCTCCTTCTTTCAAGGTATAGTTGACTAGAGCTGGCCTAGCCTCTGTGGCACGGTGGTGATGCAAGTACCCTGCAAGGCTGGAAGCTGCATGGCCAACTGTGGTTTGATCAGCTTGAAACCATGCTGGGCGTGAGCAGTCACCCCAGATCCTGAGGAGCTGGAGGACTGGGGAGAGAGGATCAAAGCGTGATGAGACTCTTTAGGGTGATTTCTTCTCTCTCCTTTCTCTCATGTACATGCAGTCTCTGTCATAAAACTACCTCTAATGCCTGTAGCTGAGCAGCTGTCTCCTTTGTTTATTTTGAGTGGTTTTTGCTATAAGGTACGTGCGCTCACCAGACAGAGAGACAGAAAGCAAGAAATCACCCCCATTCTCAGGACGCGGGGGATGGCCATGCCACAATCCTGTCTCCTCTATTCTCCTCTAAGGATTTTTGGGTGTACACACACACACATGCTTGGTGTGAGTTTTAAGCCACCAGATCTGGGACTTGAACCACAGTAGACCACGTGCTAGTCCAGCACCTTAACCATTACGCCACCTGCTGGCCCATTTCCTCTATTAGTAGTGGAAATGAAGTTTTCCATACCAATGTCTCTATCAAAACCTAGAAAGTACATTATGGACTAAGAGAATTACATATCCTTTCTTTGTGGAAGTGAATGCTTTTCTTACGAGTTTACTACGCAAACATCTACCTTACTTCACTCATTTATTCTCTGAGGGCATAGCATTGCTTTAGAGAAACTAATTTGATAGTAGTGGGAGTGCGGACATGAGGGAAAAGACCAGAAACAGATGAGCAATGCTTCTGTGCAAGAACATCAAAGAAGTGGACTTTAGGACTCACTGAAGTGGGTATGGAGGGATGGGAGCCTCTTGCTACGTGTTTCAGGTTTTCAACCTGGGTGGTGTGATCGAATAAATTAAGGGAGCTGGAAAGAGGAACCATGTTTGGTATGAGACTGTCTTCAGTTTCAGTTTGACTGTAGATACTACTAGGACACTCAGAATACTTGCACGTGTGAGTCCAGAGCTCAGAGACTTCCTAGAGCAGGAGAAACAGACTTGAGCGTTACCTGCGTAGTGGTTGAGTAGAGGCTGTACAGGATGAGATCACTAAGGATGAGCGTAGAGGTAGGGAAGATAACCTAGGCCAGAGCCTCTGGGAATGCCTGTCTCAGTTTGTTTTAGTAATAGTACTTAAAGCACTCAGGTTTCCAAATGATTTATTATAAACTTAATTTAAGCATATCATTATTTCCCTATGGTCCTCATTCTTACATGCACGAATGCTTTTTAGAGTTTGAGAGGAGGCTACACCAGAATGCCCATGGGGATGTACCACCAGTGTAGTCAGTTATGTGTCACATCTGAGAAAACTTGAATAATGATAGTTAAGAGCGTTGGACGAGAAAGGACCTGACATAGAAACCTAAGAAGAGTGGTTAGAAAGAGATTTAAAAAAATCATTGTAGTGGTCTGGCCCCATAGCTTAGTGGTTAAGAGAGCTGAATTTAAGACCAGCAGATGGCATAATGGTTACGTCACTGGACTCCCACATGGCCTACCTCAGTTCCAGTCCTGGACCTGGCAACTTAAAACTCACTCTGGGTGTGTGTGCGTGCGTGCCCAAAATCCTGAGAGGAGAATGGAGAAGGGATTGCAGTGTGGGCATCCTCCCTGGAGGATTGATTTCTCACTTTCTGTCTCTTTCTGTTTCTCTGGCGAGTGCACGTGCCCTATAATAAAAAATCTCTCAAAAGAAAGAGAGGGAGCTGGATTCTGTATGGCCAACTGCAGCTCAAGTCCAGTCCCTTGGCTCTGGAGACACACTGGGTACTGATGTATATATGCCAAAGTCCCCATAGAATGGAGAAATGGAGAAGAAGGGAGTGCAGTGTGGCCACACCTCAGTGGTGTATTTTTTTTCTCGCTTCTCCTCTCTCTGTCTCTCTCTGTTTTATTCTGGTGAGCATGTGTCCTGTGGTGATTTAATAAAAGAAAGAACCAGCAGTTAGCGTAATGGCTATGTCGCTGGACTCCCATGTAGTCGACTGTGGTTCGCGTCTCGGACCCGGTGGCTTAAATCTCACGCCGGGCGCGTGTGCGTGCATGCCCAAGATCCTGAGAGGAGAATGGAAGAGAAGGGATTGCGGCGTGACCATCCTCCCTGGGGGGTGATTTCTCGCTTTCTGTCTCTATGTCTCTCTCTGTCTGGCGAGCGCACGCGCCCTATAACGAAAACCTCTCCAAAAAAAAAAAAGAAAGAAAGAAAGATAATTAAAGTAGTCTTGGGGCTGGCAGGTAATTGAGGGTGCTGGACTCCCACATGGCCAACTGTGGTTTGAGTCCTGGACCTGGTGGCTTACTTTCTCTCTCACGCCTCGCCTCGCCTCGCCTCTCCTCTCCTCTCCGTGGTTCCTCTCCTCTCCTCTCCTCTCCTCTCCTCTCCTCTTCTCCTCTCCTCTCTCTCTCTCTCTCTCTGTCTATATCTCTGGTCAAATCAAAACAAACAAATAAAGTTAAATAAAATCATTCTTGGGACCAGCAGGTGGCATGGTGGTTAAGGCGCTGGGCACTCCCACATAACCAAACCATGGTTCAAGACTTGGACCTGTGACTTGCTTTCTCACTTTCTTTCTCTATCTCTTTATCTCTCTTTCTCTGTCTCACTCTGATCAAATTAAAATAAATGAATGAATAAATAAAGTGAAATAAATAATTTAAAAAATAGAATCATTCTTTAAAGAAAAAAGCAGTCTTAATATAATGCCATAGCTGTCAAGTAAATGAACATTTCACAAAAAAGGTAGGTCATAGTGTCAAAGACAGTGGAGAGGTTTAATAGGATAAGAACTGAGGAAATGCCATAGATTTGGTGGTGAGGAAGACTCGAATGGCCTTGGAGCAATTTCTGTCATTTCTCTCCACGCAGGAGCAGAGGCCAGACAGCAGGGGTTTATGTGAGTGAGCAGTGAGGAAGAGGATGTTGTGTCAGCTTCTATTTCAAAGTGTTTAGTAAGGAAGCTCTTTTGTTTTAGTGAGCAAATTATATAAGTGCAGCACTGGAGGGAGGGTTTTGAACTGAAGGAAACTTTAGTATATGTTTAGATACAGAGGAAGGTGGTAGGGTAGGAGAAGAGTTTGGAAATGCAAATGACGTGAATAGAGATGATTGAAGAGAGGCTCTGAAGGGGTTAAAGGGTTTGAGATCAAGAGTATGAGAGGGGTCATCTTGTTGAGGATAGGGACACTTCTTGCTCTTGGGAAGATACTAAGGTATAGAGAAGTTTAGAAATAAGGTGGAGAGGTAGAAGCAGCTTTTGTTAGAGGACTTGGCTTTTGAGAAAATTGGAGTAGAAGTCATTTACTTTGGGGATAAGGAAAACAGAATATGAGAAGTCGATAAATGGTTTGGAAAACGCACTACATAAAATGTAGAATTATGCTTAATAATAAATGAGTTACTAAGAAGTGATAAAGGGGACTAGCAGGTAGCATGGTGTTGAAGGTGCTGGATTCCCATGTGACTGACTCTGGTTCAAGTCCCATATCTGGTGGCTTGCTTTCTGAATTTCTCTTTCTCTGTCTCTCTCTAGTGAACACATGTGCCCTATGGCAAATTTTATTTTTATTTATTTATTTTTTGAAGAATTATTTTATTTAACTTATTTATTTCAATATGATCAGAGAGGGAGAGAGAAAGAGAGAGAGAGAGAGAGAGCGAGAAAGTGAGAAAGCAAGTCACCAGGTCTGGGATTCAAACCATGAGCAGCCATGTGGGAGTCCAGCACCCTTAACCACCACACCATCTGCCACCTCTTGCAAATTTTAAAATAATAATAATACTAACTAAATAATTCTTTTTTTTAAAAAAAAAAAAGTGATGAGGTCCTAGTTGATAGCATGCATATGTAATCATAAGTCACTTAACCACAGGGATAGTTTCTGAGAAACGCATCATTAGGCAATTTGTCATCGTGCAAATATTATAAAATATATAAACCTATGTGGTAGAGTCTAGACTGTATGGTAGCCTATTATAACTGTTTGGGATGAACTTTGTATGTGGGGGTCTGTCGACAGAAACATCACAAAGCAGCACCTGTGTGTGTCTTACGCAATGTCCCAAAGTTCGAGTATTCATGCCGTGCAAGGACCAAGACTGTTTTACCTCCTTTTCCCTAGGACGTGCATTTATCACCGTTTCCCTTTCTAACCATGATACTGAACCTTCTGGATGGTTTTTTTGGTTTGAATCGTTTGCCAATTATTTCCTGAGTTTCTCCTGGAAATCTAGAATACACGGGCTGAGTATAAATGTCATAGATCAAAAGTGGCTTGACATTTTGACATTCTCTAACTGCTGTCTTGAACTATCATCTGCCTATAATTCCACATTCTAATGATCTAAGACAAACCTTAAAGGCCTTACATCTTCTTTTTATTTTAAAGCTACCAGTGAAGACTATAAGCTCCTGGAAAATATGAATAAACTAACCAGCTTGAAGTACCTTGAAATGAAAGATATTGCTATAAACATTAGTAGAAATTTAAAGGACTTAAACCAGAAGTGTAAGTAATAATTTATAAATTAAACATGTTTATATTTAATGTTCTTTTGTGCTTGGGACTGTGGAGAAGGGGTGGGAACATGGGATCCCTGTCTTTCAGGATTTTATTTTCTAAAAATGAATTACAAAGTTAAGGTGAATTTCTTCCTCTCTGGAGATTAGCATGCTTTGGTGGTATGGTTATTTCTGCTTCTAAATCTTGATTTCCAGTTTTTTTCTGGTAAGGGAGTATGGAAAGGATGGGTGGCTGTAGTCTATAGATAGTCAATTGTCTTTACAATGAAATCCATATAGGATTACTCGTTAAAAAGAAAAGAGAACATTTATAAATGGAAAACATGGATTTAGAGTGGTCAGATATAGTTTTTCACTGACTTCAATTTGTGATCCTTGTCTTCAGGGTACTTTTTCTTGGTGTGGGAGGACCCAGGAAACTGAATCCTTAGCAGAAAGATTGCTCAAAAAGCCAGAAATGAGTAGCGAGATCGGTAGATGAGGGAGCTCGCCCGCTAGTTGGCTGACCCTGGAGCCTGGTCAGCGGGCTGCTGTCTTCCACGCAGCCGCCCGAGTGCTCGGAACTGTCACCCAGCCCATGTGCTTAGGCACAGCTGGAGAGACCCTTTCTGCCCTTGGTTTGTACTTCCTGTTGACGCTGTACAGACATGTGGCTCATTTTTGTCTTTGAAGATGCTGGGCTGCAGCCTTACCTGGACCAGATCAACGCCATCGAGGAGCAGGTAGCCGCTCTTGAGCAGGCAGCCTACAAGTTGGATGCATATTCGAAAAAACTGGGTAACGTTTGTATTTTTAAAATTATTTCTTTATTTATTTTAATTTTTATTATTATTATTTATTATTATTTTTTAATTTGACCAAAGAGAGAGAGAGAGAGTGAGAGAAGGGGAAAGTGAAAAAACAAGCCAACAGGTCCGGGACTCAAACCGTGGTCGGCTATGTAGGAGGAAATCCAGCACTTTAACCTAACCACTATTCCACCTGCCTGCCCCTATTTGTTTTGATTTAACAAAGAGTACCTCTTGCTAAGACATACTTAACTGGGACCAGCAGTTGGCATAATGACTGTGTCGCTGGACTCCCAGGTCCGGGCTTCAAACTGTGATTGACTACATGAGTCCAGCGACATAACCATTTCACCGTCTGCTAGTCCCCACAACAGGCTTTTTTTTTTTTTTTGGAGAGGTTTTTGCTATAGGGTGCATGTGCTTGCCAGAAAGACAGAGAGAGACAGAGAGACAGAAAGCGAGAAATCACCCCCCAGGGGGGATGGCCACACCGCAATCCCTTCTCCATTCTCCTCTCGGGATCTTGGGCACGCATGCACATGTGCCCAGCATGAGTTTAAGCCACTGGGTCCGGCACTTGAACCGTGGTTGACTACATGGGAGTTTTGTGACATAGCCATTATGCCACCTGCTGACCCTCACCATAGGCATTTTTAAAAGTTTCCTGGAAATGCTAATTTAAACATATCTTTGAAAGACCTGGTTTTAAAAATGATAACTTTCTTCCCCCTCCCCCACCGCAGAAGCCAAGTACAAGAAGCTGGAGAAGCGATGAGCTCTTATTCTATGGGGCAGTCTTTCTTGGTGTGGAAGAATGTTTTGTAAGAACTGAATCCTGAGGTTAATGAATTGTCGGAACTCCTCAGAAGGAAACTGAGCTGATCATCCCAGGACTATCCAGCGTTGGAGTAAACTGGAGGATGTGGCTACTCCTGAGCCTGCTTTGAGGCAGTACCCCTCAGAAACTCACACTTACAACTCGGAACCTTTTACTTGAATACTTCGTCATCCATTCAGGACAGAGACTCTCCAAGTTCAGGCTAAGCCTGGACTTACAGTAGACTCCAATGCGAGGGCCTGTTTTTCTCTGGGAGTGGTTGATTACTACATTATTTTCTTAAATGGATGGTTTTTGAGTTACTGTATAAATGTTTGTTTTTTTCTATTATTGATGCTAATGTATTAACAAGATTTTAAAGAGGAAAACAAAAAATGTGTTCTTTGCAGTTTATCACCTTGTTAATGTCAGCAATTTACTTTTCTGTACTATTACAAGTAGTAGGAAGTTTTAAAATAATATCAGACCGAGTCTTCCAGACTGAACAGAAATAGTGAGAGGAGCGTTTTGATAGCGTGGTGTGTGGGACAGGCCTCTTGCCCCTTTTCTGTGTGGATCAGATGTTGGGGATGGATGCCATCTTGATATGTGCTCCCTTTGGGAAATGGATAAAGAGAAAGACAAGGCATATATGTGTGTGGGGGGGGTGGAGCCTGTCTCCTAAAATAAAGCACTTTGTAGAATATCTTACTACCTGTGTCTGTGGGTCAGGGAGACTCCTGGGGACCTGATTGTCTTCCTTCTAAGGATGTCAGAACATAAGAGATACTGACATAAGAGATAGGCAACCTTACTCAGAGTAGGGTGTTAGCAGCTGGGAAGGTGTCTGAGGTTTCCGGGTCCATCTCCAAAAGAGTTTCTTACTGGGCCAGCAGGTGGTGTGGTGGTTAAGGTTTTGGACTCCCAAATGGCCGACCATGGTTCAAGGCCAGGAGCTACCTGGTGGCTTGCTTTCTCACTTTCCCTCTCTCTCTCTTTCTGTCTCTTTGGTTAAATTAAAAAATAATAAATAGGGGCCAGCAGGTAGCATGTTGGTTGAGGCACCTGACTCCCATATGGCCAGTCAGGGTTTGAGTCCAGGACCTGGCAGCTTGCTTTCTCACTTTCCCTCTCTCTTTCCATGTCTCTCTCTGGTCAGATTAAAAAATAATACTGCTGATAAATAGTTTAATAAATATTTCTTTTAAAAATAATAATAAGTGGGTCAGCAGGTGGCATAGTGGTTAAGGGTACTGGACGACTGGATGGTTGACTGTGGTTCAAGTCCCGGACCTGGCGTCTTGTTTTCTCACTCTCTCTCTCTCTCACACTCTATCCCTCTCTGGTCAAATTAAAGGAAAGAAAAAGAGGGAGGGAGGAAGGAAAGGAGAAAAAGAAAGAAAAAGTTGAATAAAATAATTTTTGTTAAGAGAGATTTTTGCTATACGGTGTGTGTGCTCACCAGAGAGACAGACTGAAAGTGAGAATTCACCCCCCACGGGGGCTGGCCATACTGCAATACCTTCTCTTCCATTCTCCTCTCAGTATCTTTGGGCAAGCATGCACGTACACCTGGCATGAGTTTCAAACCATCAGGTCCAGACTCAAACCATGGTCAGCCATGTGGGAGTCTAGCACTATAACCATTACACCATTCCCTGGTCCCAAAGTTAAATAATTCCTTTAGGGAAACCAGCAGCTAGCGTAATGGCTATGTTGCTGGACTCCTACGTAGTCGACCACAGTTCGTGTCCCGGACCCGGTGGCTTAAAACTCACGCCAGGCGCGTGTGCGTGCATGCCCAAGATCCCGAGAGGAGAATGGAGGAGAAGGGATTGCAGTGTGACCATCCCTCCTGGGGGGGTGATTTCTCACTTTCAGTCTGTGGCAAGTATGCTCATCCTATAGTATAAATCTTAAAACAAAAAAAAACAAGGACGAGACGGGACTGGATCTGGATGGTGGCTCAGCACTGTATGAGGCGGACCTGGATAAGAAACTACCTGGTTTGCACCTGGAGCCCTCCCCGAGTGCGCTGGGTGACCACCATCAGGCTTGCTGAAGTGGGAGTGGATTGCAGCGTCAACCCTGTTGGGGATGCTGTCTGTCTCTAATGGAAGTGTCGATCTGAAAAGGTAGACTGAGGCAAAGTATGTAAAGCAAGAAGAGTTTATACAGGCATAAGTTTGAGGGCTGCTGCGTGAGTAGACATGCTCAGTTGCCCCAAACTAGCTCACTGAGGTCTTGTAAGCCTCAAGAAGATTTAAAAGGCAAAAACTGGGACCAGCAGTTAGCTCAATGGCTATGTCGCTGGACTCCCACGTGGTCGACTGTGGTTTGCGTCCCGGATCTGGTGGCTTGAAATCACGCTGGGCGCATGTGCGTGCGTGCCCAAGATCTTGAGAAGAGAATGGAGGAGAAGGGATTGCGGTGTGGCCATCCCCCCTGGGGGGTGATTTCTCACTTTCTATCTCTCTGTCTCTCTCTCTGGCGAGCACACGCGCCCTATAGCAAAAAAAAACTAAAAATGGCAAAAACCACAAATGAGTTTGTGGGGAGGGAGGAGATTATGCCACTTGTTTAGGGACAAGGATCCATACAAGGTGTCTTCTGCCCAGGGTTGGACAAGGAATCTCTGGGCAAATGGCCCTGCAGAAGCCATCCTTGTGTCCGGTTACAGTGGTCTGTGTAGTACTGGGGTCCTGGTAGAATTCCTTAAGTAATAGTTGTTACGAGGAGTGCTAGCGGGAGAAAACACCTCCCCAGCCTTTTCTAGCTCATTTGGTCAGGGTTGATAAATGCCTCTATTTTGTTTCTGACACCTTTCACAGCAGAAATTGAGAGAGCTCCAGCGTGAGTGTGAAACTTGATTGGATCCTGAATGAAAACAAACACCAGGGCGCTGAGCCACAGAAGCCTGGGTACCATGTGATACTCAGGCCTTGAGTGGGGAGGGGGCCGTGAGCAGCAGCCGCCGAAGGACCTGAACGTACTGGCTGCACCCCTGTGACCTTGGCTGGCTGGGAAACGGGGAGGACCTTGACACGCCTTGACCCTGTTGGGGCCCCTTCCTCAAATAACATGAAATAAAACCAATGTCGGGACAACTGGAGAACATTAAATATGGCTGTATATTAGGTGCTGTTACTGAATTAATGCTACTCTTCTTGGATGTCCCTATGGTATGGTTTTATAGGGACATGTCTTTACTTTTACTTTTTTTATTTTTTAGGTTTTTGTCATACAGCACATACTCTCCTTGGAGAGAGACAGAGAAAGAGGGAAAGTGAGAAATCCCCCCTCTGGGGCTACAGTGTGGCCGTCCCCCCTGTTCTCCACTCTTCTCTGGGATTTTGGGTACATGCATGCACTCAGCATGATTTTCAAGCTGCACCATCAGAGACTTGAACTGCACAGTTGGCCATGTGGGATCCAGTGCCTTAACCACCATTCTACTTGCTGCTGGTGCCCCCCATTCTTTTTTTTTAATAAAAAAAAATCATACATCCTTTTTATTGTTAAATTATAAAGAGGTATCAAACTTGTGTGTGTTTGTTTGTTTTTTGGAGAGGTTTTTACTATAGGGTGCATGTGTTCTCCAGAAAGACAGAGACAGAGAGACAGAAAGCGAGAAATTGCCCCCCCAGGGAGGATGACCATGGCATAATCCCTTCTCCTCCATTCTCCTCTCAGGATCTTGGGCACACACGCACACGCACACATGCCCAGCGGGAGCTTAAGCCACTGGGTCCGGGACTTGAACCGCGGTTGACAACGTGGGAGTCCAGAAACATAGCCATTACGCTAACTGCTGGTCCCAAAATGTTTTAGAATCTTTATAATTTCTTGAAAGCTGTGCTCTGGTGCAACAGGTTGGTTTGTTTTTGTTTTTTTTTTTTTTTTGGGGGGGTTTTTGAGTTTTATAAGAGGTTTTTGCCTTAGGGTGCATGCATTCATTGAGGAGGGAGAAAGAATGAGACAGAGATAGAGACAGTGAGAGGAAAAGTGGAAAACAACCCCCCTTGGGGGATGGCTATGCTGCAATCCGTTCTCCTCCCGGAACCTTGGGCACACACACACACATGCACCCGGCATGATTTTCAAGTCACTGGGTCCAGGATTCGAACCACAGTTGGCTATGTGGAAGTCCAGTAACATAACCGCTATGCCATCTGCTGGCCCAAGAGGTATCAAAATTAAAAGCAAAAATGACATGTGCTGAAGATACAAGGGGAGAGGTTCTGGGGACAGCTCTGACCTTAGACAAGCGCCTAGGTAAAGAAAGACTTGGTAAGATTTCTGAACCCCACTACGTGCTTAAGAGTCATCCTAGCCATTGGCGCTGGCGCTATCCTCCTCCCCCTCCTCAGCCTCTTTTTCATCATCCTTGATCAACTCCAGCCGGTCACCCCACCGTCATTATCACCCCATCCAGCAGGTCCCCTCCCCAGAGTCGTCTGCACCCCTCAGGCTCCATCTCCACAGTCCCACCTGGGAGCCACTGCTCGGCTCCTCTGACCTAGCACTCTTCACCTCTGCAGTCCATTTGCTTTGTTCCTTTTCCATTTCCCCAGGTTTTCTAGAAGACACTTTGTTTTATCTGGGTTAACTCCTTAATGGCCTAAAGGTCCTCTCCTTTCACCTTTCCAGACTTGGAAGGAGAGCCTCGCTATCCACTCTTAGAATTGAAGCGTTCTCTCCTTGGCGAGGTGTTCCCTGACACATGCTGGTGTTTGGCGGGCATGACAGCCCGAGCCACAGGAGAAGGTGAGGAACATGGACGGGGTAACTGTACACCCTGTCCTCCTCATCCGGCTGAAGTCACAGTCTGAGTCAAAAGAGGAGCCGAGGGACCAGCAGATGGCTTAGCGGTTACGTTATGTCACTGGACTCCCACATGATTGACCGTGGTGTGAGTCCCAGACCCGGTGGCTTCAAAATCATACTGGGCACATCTGTGTGTGTATCCACGATCCCAGGAGAAGAATGGAGGAGAAGGGATTGCGGCCGGCCAACATCCCTGGGAGGTGATTTCTCACTTTCCCTCTCCCTGTCTGGTCTCTATCTGGTGTGTACACATGCCCTAAGGCAAAAACCTCTAGGGAAAACAAAGGAGCCCCATAGGGGACAGGAGGGGTTCTGGCCTGACCTGGCCATCTCCCTGCAGGTCATTTCACACCTGCTTTTCCTTGGTTCACTTTGGGAGTTGCAGCCAGGTTAAAACCTACAACCTGGCCAGCAGCCGTCCTGCCGTCTTCTCCTGCCACAGCAGTCCCGGCATTTCTCTCATTGACACATTGATCAGAGGCAGGGCCCTCACGGACACAGCAACCCACAGCTTTGCCGTATTTCAAGAAGTTGCCTCCAGTCAGGACTCCTGGACTACAAGAGGGTGAGGTTCCCAGTGAAGCTGGGAGTTCATGGAGCGAGGATCTGTCCTGTTGGTAACATTGTTAACCATTGAGTTTGCTGGTAAGATTCCTCACAAAGCCAGAAAACAAGGAGGGGCAGGATTCTGAATCCCTAGCTCCTGGGTTCCAGGTGGAGAAGCCGACTGTGATCGGAGGCTGGAAATGTGGCCACAACCACTTGGTCTTCAACTCTTCACAGAATTCCCCCCCTTTATTTAATTTAATTTTTTTTAGAGAAAGATTTTTGCCATAGGATGTTTGTGCTCACCAGAGAGAGACGGAGAGGGAGAAAGTGAGAAATCACCCTCCAAGGGGGATGGCCACACCACAGTCCCTTCTATTCTCTTTCTGTTCTCTTCTCGGGATTTTTGGGCACACACACATACATACACGTGCATGTTATGACTCAAGCCACCAGATCTGGGACTCAAACTGCAGTTGTCCAAGTGTGAGTCCAATGCCCTAATCACCACACCATCTGCTGCCCCCCACCACACACTTTATTCTTAAGAAATGCGTGCTGAGCATTGGAGCCTGTCCTCCCTTCTAATGATTCAGTGAGAATAAAAGTGCTCGGACACCTTGAAAGAAAGCCAGGGAAGCCAATTTGGCAACATGCTGGTACTTACTGAATCGAGGTGACTATTCGTTTACCTGTACGATAAAAACTTACAAAGGGACCAGCAGGTGACCTGGTAGTTAAGGGTGCTGGACTTTCATGCTGACCATGGTTTGAGTTCAGACCTGGCAGCTTGCTTTCTCACTCTCTTTCTTACTCTGTCCCTCTCTGGTCAAATTAAAATAAATAAAGTTAAATAAAAAAATGGGTCCAGCAGATGGTGTAATGGATACGTCGCTGGATTCCCATGTAATCAACTGCAGGTTCGAGTCCCTGACCATGGCTTAAACTCACGCTGGGTGCGTGTGCGTGCGTATCCAAGATCTCGAGAGGAGGAGGAGAAGGGATTGCAGCGTGGCCACCCCCCTGGGAGGTGATTTCTCGTTTTCTGTCTCTCAGTCTCTCTCTTTCAGGCGAGTGCACGCACCCTATAGCAAAAACCTCTCCAAAAACAAAACAAAACAAAACTTACAAAGAGCATGGAGGGTGTGTCTTTCACATTAGACACTATCGCTAGATTAGGGCCCAACATTGCACCAGGAACTTTCTAGCAGCTAACTAAATTCAATTAACCCGACATTAAAAAACAAAACAAAAAAAATTAGAATTCATTCGATCATTTCTTCCTTTGCTCCTCTCCCTTCTTGAGACGCAACTGTCTGCGCGAGACTTTGGTCCCTCGGCGCTCTCCGTAGTTGACTGAGCCCTCATTGGCTGGAGGACGCTGACGTCTTCTCGCCGTGTGGCCGCCGTTTTCCGAGTGCTGTCTGTTCGGGTTCCGGGTTTTCGGTGGTCTTCCTACCCCAGGCACTCGGGACCGATGGCTCAGAAACCGCTGCGCCTGTGAGTGACTGTGAATCGGAAACCCGTGCGCTCGCGTGTGCGCGTGTGTGTACATGTGTGCGCGTGTGTCCGCGTGTACGTACAGAGACGGGCAGGGCTGTTTCCCGTGCCTGGAAAGGAGCAGGAGGCAGGGGCCGAGGGCGCGGGGCACCGGGGAGCTCCAGCGGGTCTGCCCGCCGAGGGGCCGTCTCTTCTCCCGCTTTCCCCCGAGGACTCTTGGCGGCTCTGGCTGGGACGGGCGGAAGCTCCCGAGCCAGGTCTCCTCCACGGTGGGCAGTCGTGGCCTCGCATCTCCCGTCCGCTTCTCCCCTCACCCCACCTACCTGTTAACTAAACCCTTGACATCGGCCCATTGCTGGGCCCTGGGCGGTGCTGGACAGGATCCACAGCTAGGACCCCGGCTCTGCGCACTTTTGGGGAAGGAGGACAGGGGGTAGAGAAGAGCGGGCTTCATTCATTCACTCATTCATTCATTCATTCATTCTGCAAGTTAGTTTTTGAAGGCCCATAGTGTGCCGGGCACTGTGCCGGGCGCTGCATACACCGAGTTCCTGCGGTAATGGAGTTTATGTCTAGAGGAACAAAGAATCCAGATAAACGTGGCACTGCGATTGTGATAAATGCCAGGAACTAACGGTTCACTACTGGGAGGGTGTGTAATAGGGGCATTCGGTTTAGTGGGAGGAATCAAGGCAGGGTTCAGAGAGAGTGCCTCACTCTGGTTAGTATTTTTGTCTTTAACTTTAAGCCTTTGAAATCTAAGAATGCTTCCTACCTAGCAGAAGGTCAGACTTTCGTTTTGGAAGGTGGTTCTGGCTGCAGTCCCGAGAACAAACCAGAGCCAAAGTAGAGGACAGCTAGGATTAGGTAGAACGATGGCAGAGGAAAGGGCAAGAATCCAAAGTTTGTTAAGAGGTGACATCAAGGGCTTGGTGATGGCTTGAGTGTGAGTGAAGAGTCGGCTCTGTTGGGCATAGATTTCTTTCTTCACATGGGGTTGAGAACAGTGGGGAAAGGCCCAGATGAGGCACCCATGAATTTGGAGGTGGCTTCTGATATACGATCCCCCAGAAATCGTCATGGTCCCGTGTCACAGCAGCCGTAGTAAGTCAGGCTCCTATGGGAGCCCCAGGAACTGGTATCCGACGGGGACTAGAAGACTCCCTCGAAGAGGTGGTGCTCAGAAGATAAATGAGAATGCTTAATAATTTACGGCAGAGTTTGCTCTGGTACTGTAGGGGTTTCTGAGGTTTCGAGAGGAGAGTCAGTTTCTGAGCCGGTCAGGAAGGCTTCAGAAATGCGCTGGGCCTTGAAGAAGGGGGAAAACGTCGACTAAGGATGGGAATGGTGAGACTGTTCGGAGCGGTAACTACTCCAGGGAATGACGGGCAGAGAGCGGGTAACTGATAGCACAGAAGGTTTCCCTTTGGGGAACTTGGGGAGAGCACCGTGAGGACAGTCCAGGCCTGAGCAGCACCGTGTGTCTGCAGCCAGTGGAGAACCTCTTAGGGTTTTCCAGAAAAGAAAATTAAACTGGGACCAGCAGTTAGTGTAACAGCTATGTCACTGGACTCCCACACGTCCCGGACCAGGTGGCTTAAAACTCACTCCGGGCACATGTGCGTGCGTGCCCAAAATCCTGAGAGGAGAGGAGAAGGGATTGCGGCGTGGCCATCCCCCCTGGGGGGTGATTTCTCGTTTTCTGGCTCTGTCTCTCTCTGCCTGTCTGGCTAGCGCATAGGCCCTATAGCAAAAACCTCTCCAAAAGGCAGCATTTGAGGAAACAACCTCATTTTCTCCATTGTGCTGAAATACTTTGTATCCTACACCCAGATCATTCTGTTTCTCTCTGACTAGGCCTCCAGGCCTCCACCGCGGCAGATGACTTCCCTTCTGACTTCTCCCTCATTGCTCGTCCAACTTCCTTACTCCAGTTTGTGTTCAGATTAGAATTTCTCCTGTTTCTCTCCCCCCATCTGTTAGTTATTGCCCTTCTTATTAATATTTTTGCTTATAATCACTTTTTCCTCCAGACTGTCTTTCACTCTGTTGTTAAGATGATCTTTTTAAGCAGGTGAGGTCATGTCTCCACCCTGCTTGAAACTGCTCAGTGAAGGGTACAATGCAAGCATACCAGCAGAGCATACTGACAACACTGTAAGAACTAGTTCAAGATGAGTTAACAGACATTAAAAAATGATGTAAGGAATGGGGGGGTATGCGTATAAATTAGAATGAGAAAATCTCAGAAGTGAGATGCTAGAACGGACGAATTCATTGCTTAGGGCCAGTTCACCTTGTCAACCTCAGCTCATGCCATTTCCTACTTCCTGCCCCATCACACGCTACACCTCTCTCCTACTATAGCCCTTTCTGTATAAACTGATAATGATGAAAATGTCTTCCCTTCCCTAATTTTCAATTCCTTGAGACTTGAACTGAGTCTCCCTCCTTACTGTACTCCTAACATTTCTAGTACAGGTTTATGGAATGAGCGACCGCAGCCTTGTACTAGATAATGCAGTAGAAACTAAAAAGGAAAAAATAAAAAAGAAAGAAAAGAAAAAGAAAAAAGAAAAAAGAAAAAAATAAAGAAAAAAAGAAACACAAAGGACAGATTGAGCGTGGGAAATGTTTGGAAAAGGGTATTGATAGGACTCAGTGACTGGATGGGGGGTTTTTGAATGTGGGGACAAGTCAACAATAGACCCATGCACAAATTTAGGATTGAGGAGAAGTTGGGTGACTGTGGAGGATTTGATAAGCTCAGTTTTAGATGACGAGCTAGAGGTGTGTTGAGACCTTTAGCCACAGCTGCCCAGTGGGCAGTGCTTGGTCACAGGCGTTGAACCTCACAAAGTAACTACAGGAAGTCTGAATCACATATATCTACCTATTCCAGAAGATTAGAATATTCCCAACTCAGACTGTTGGTGTTTCGTATTTTCTCAGTTGCCATAACATTTATCTCTCATTCACAGCTTGGCTTGTGGAGATGTTGAAGGAAAGTTTGATGTTTTATTCAATAGAGTTCGAGCAATTCAGAAGAAAAGTGGAAACTTTGATGTAAGACATTTCTTTTATACTGGGTTTAATTTTACTATTGTCAAACATACCAAAGTAAAGGCTGGGCTCCTTTATTCATTTCTTGAGGGAAGACATGCTTTCCTTTTTTGGTAGACTGAGTTCCTTTGGTGAGCAGAGGAACTCAGTAGCTGTTGACTGCTGGGAAGGAGGTAGACTTCCTTACTGTGGATCTTTTTATACTTCTCCAATGTGAACCCTGTTACTCAGTTACTGTGTAGAGAACTGAAACAGACTAGCAACACCTCCCTAGGTGATTCTGACCCCTGGGTTTGGCATCAGTGCATGGTCTGAGTTAAGTCTGATGGTATATGTGCAAATGCTTCACAAGCTGAAGAGCCCTACACAAGCATTATGTAGAGCTGCCAGCTAGACTATGCATTCCTGGAATACAGAGGAATATTTTAGGTACAGGATAATTTGTTCATTGAGTTAGAGGTTGAGTAAAAATAATAGGCCAAGTGGATTTGTATCTCTGAGTGTATCTGATATTGTAAGTTTATATGCAACAGAGAGATTCTTTAAAGGCCTGTTTCCCTCTCACTGTGTACTCTGAGGAAGAAGGAAGGGGGAGAGAGCCATGGGATGGCGGAGTGGGACCAGGACTATTTGAGGAGCCCTCAAATTCGACTTCTTTTGAAAGTTCAGTTCCCTGACTCCCCCTTCTCCATCTCCAACTTGAATTTAACAGGCAGTGAGCAAACATTTAATAATTCATAGAATCAGTAACAGGTATAGTTGCTTCCAAAGAACTGTGTGTTAAAGTTCAGCAAATTGGTTAAGAATAAAAACCTGATATGAGACCGTTAAGCAGGATAATTAGCTAAATGCTATCAATGATAATGTTGTTTGATATGTAAAAAACTCATATATCTGTTTAAAAAACTCATTTTAGCTGCTGTTGTGTGTAGGAAATTTCTTTGGCTCCACCCCAGATGCCGAATGGGAGGAGTATAAAACTGGCGCCAAAAAAGGTATAGAAATATTTTTATTGAATGTACAGTTTCTAATGATATTTTAAAGGCTACAGATCTTTCTGGGTTGTTGTCTGCTGCAGTTATTTAACCTTTTGATTTTGCATTGATGGGGAAGGAGAGCCTATGCTTGAGGCAGGTGAGTGGCGTGATGGTTAAGGTGCTGACTCCCACATGGCCGATCATGGGTTGAATACTGGGCCTGGTCAGATTAAAAAAAGAACAATAATAACAAATAAAATAAATAATTCTTTTTTTTGTTGTTGTTGTAAAATTTTTTTTTTAACATTCTTTTTTTTTTTTTTGGAGAGGTTTTTGCTATAAGGTACGTGCACTTGCCAGGAAGACAGAGAGAGACAGAAAGCAAGAAATTATCCCCCGGGGGGATGGCCACACTGCAATCCCTTCTCCTCCATTCTCCTCTCAGGATCTTGAGCATGCATGCACACACACTGAGTCTGGGACTCGAACTGTGGTCGACTACATGGGAGTCCAGCGACATAGCCATTACGCCAACTGCTGGTTCCTCCAAAATAAACAATTCTTAAAAAAAAAAAAAAAAGAATGCTTATGCATAATCTTCATGTTCACATTTTTCATTTGGTTCAGTTTGGTTCTAGAAAAATAATACTCTTCTACATTGGCAGGAACTGAATAAATACAACTGTATGTGTCCTTTCTTTTTCCCAATTTTAGTATTTTTTCGTTTTATTTTTATTTATTTATTGCCAGAGGGCATGTACACTTGCTAGAGTTAAACAGAGAGAGGGAAGGTGAGGCAGTACCCCCATTGGGGCATGTTGACGCAATCCTTTCTCCTCCATCTCATCCTCCTTAAGGGATTTTGGGCATGTGTGCATATGCACCCAACATGTTTTTCAAGCTGCCAGGTCTGGGACTTGAACTGCTAGGTTGGCCATGTGGGATCCAGCTGCTTTAACCACCATACCACAGCTGGTGCATGTGTTTTTTATTTTATTTTGCTTTTCCCCTCAAATTATTTACTTATTTATTTATATTGCTGGAGGGCTCATGTGCTCGCCAGAGAGAACAGACAGAGAAGGAGAAACTACCTTTCAATGGGATACGATCTGCTACAACCTCCTCCCCATTTTTCTATCCAGTCAGGATTTGGGGCATGCATTACATGTCCCCTGCATGTTTTTCAAGATGCCAAGGCTGGGATTTAAATTGCAGTGTTGAGATTTGGCTCCCTTACCCACTAGCCTACGGACTGGCACTTAACTCTCCTCTGTAAAATGTCAGTTTGTCAGTCTAGCTACATCATTTGATAGTCAAGCCCTAAAGTTGGGTGTAATCTGGGACTTGAACTGCTAGGTTGGCCATGTGGGATCCAGCTGCTTTAACCACCATACCACAGCTGGTGCATGTGTTTTTTATTTTATTTTGCTTTTCCCCTCAAATTATTTACTTATTTATTTATATTGCTGGAGGGCTCATGTGCTCGCCAGAGAGAACAGACAGAGAAGGAGAAACTACCTTTCAATGGGATACGATCTGCTACAACCTCCTCCCCATTTTTCTATCCAGTCAGGATTTGGGGCATGCATTACATGTCCCCTGCATGTTTTTCAAGATGCCAAGGCTGGGATTTAAATTGCAGTGTTGAGATTTGGCTCCCTTACCCACTAGCCTACGGACTGGCACTTAACTCTCCTCTGTAAAATGTCAGTTTGTCAGTCTAGCTACATCATTTGATAGTCAAGCCCTAAAGTTGGGTGTAAGATATCCTTAATGTTACACATGCTCCACGTTTAGTATTGCTGTGGGGGAATGGACAGACACCTTATGCTGTGAGTAATTTTCCTAAAGGGATGCATTTCTCAAGTTTCAAAACAAATTCGATAACTATGGCGTCATGTCTGTTTCTCTCCCTAGCTCCTATTCAGACGTATGTGCTTGGTGCCAATAACCAGGAAACACTAAAATATTTCCAAGATGCCGATGGGTGTGAGTTAGCTGAGAATATTACTTATCTGGGTAAGCTGATATTTTTTGTTTTGTAATGAACATAATAAAGTATTCTAGGGAATGAGTCTCCCAGGAAATTTTTGGTTGGATTCTTCTGCCATTACTGCCTGAGAGAAAGGAGGTTAAGGGTTCTTTCTCAAAATCTGTGTCTATGTATGCCCTTAGGACAGTGGCGTTTTCCCTTGTTGTCTTGTGTTCCCACACACAGCACTACTCCTTCAGGCGACCAGCAGGGTCAAGTTTTTGTCACCTTGCTTGATGTATGCAGCTTACTTGTTAGTTAGGCTCCTGACTAGCTAGAGTTCTAGGCTTCCCTCGAGGGTTTTGGCAGTTCAAGTTTTTTTTTTTTCTTTTTAAAAAAATATTTATTAAATTTTATCTATTGTTATTATTATTTTATAATTTGACTGGAGAGAGACACGAGGAGAGAGAGAAAGAGAAGGGGAAAGTGAGAAAGCAAGCTCTCAGGTCTGGGTCTCAAACCGTGGTCAGCCATGTGGAAGTCCAGCGCTTCAACCACTACGCCACCCGCTAACCCACGTTTTTAGTGCCAGTTCATTGTCGTCCCTTTGTTCTTTTTGGGTTCCAGGTCTACTCTTTAATTCCAGTTTAAAGGTGTTCCTTCCACAGCCCTCAGTATTGCCTTTAGTGGTTCTTCCAGTGTCTGGCCCTTTTAGGAAGCACTACCAAATTTTCTTCTGCCTCCTTCCCACCTTCTATTCATGTCCTGCTTCTCAGGTTATTTAACTTATTTTTTTCTTATTTTTTGGAGAAGATTTTGCTATAGGGTGCGTACGCTCTCCAGAAAGACGGAGAGAGAAAGAGAGACAGAAAGCGAGAAATCACCCTCCCGGGGGTATGGCCATGCCACAATCCTTTCTCCTCTATTCTCCTCTCAGGATCTTGGGCACGCATGCACATGTGCCCAATGTGATTTTAAGCCACTGGGTCCGGGACTCGAACCACGGTCAACTACATGAGAGTCCAGCAATACAGCCATTATGCCAATGGCTGGCCCCTCAACTTATTTTTCTCTAAAATGGCTTTAGCATCCTTCACATTTCCTCTCTGATGGCTTCATTTCTCTAGAAAGTGTGTCCATATTTTGGGACCAGCAGATGGCATAATGGTTACGTCACTGGACTTCCATGTAGTTGACCATGGTTTGAGTCCTGGACCCAGCAACTTAAAACTCATGCCAGGTATATGTGCATGTATGCCTGAAATCCCGAGGACAGAATGGAGGAGAAGGGATTGTGGCGTGGCCATGCCCCCTGGGGAGGTGATTTCTCTCTTTCTGTCTCTCCAGCGAACACATGTGGCCGATAGCGAAAAATCTCTCAGAACAAGAGAAAGTGTCCATATTTCCGTTGCTGTGAATGTCCCTACTCTTCTTCTTGACCTGTTGTTTCTGTGTATGGCTATGGCCCTCACGGAAACAATCTCGTCTTGCTCCAATCATGTGCGTCTCCTTTAGGTGAGATTTTATGTGTTTGCTGTCATTGTCATTTTTTAAAATTTGCCAGAAGGTGTGTATGCTGGCCAGAGAGAGACGAGACAGAGAGAGGGAGAAAGCACCCCATGGAGTGTGTTCACACTGCAGTCCCTTTGACTCCATTTCTTTAGGATTTGGGCCTTGCATGCACCCATGCCCAGCCTGTTTTTCAAGCTGCTGGGTCCAGAATTTAAACTGCAAGGTCAAATCGATATTGAAGAGAGTAGGTTTTGGGGAACTGGTCCTATAAAGATGAGAAGTAAAGCTGAGAAGAGGATCAGATTGTTAAGGGAAAAATAGAGTGAGAAGGGAGGCAGGTGGACGACAGTGTCCGTGGGGTGGCGTACCTTCATCCAAGGCGGAGGTGAAGAGAAGTAAAATCGCTTAGAAGACTGAAGAGGTCAGGTATGGTTAGGTTCGTAGAATCTAAGTGAAGAGAACGTGGTTTCAGGAGAAGAGACCTGTCGTGCAAAGTAGAGAACACTTAGGTTTCCTCAAATGCCTTCTCTTCTTCCTCTCTGTGTTACATAAAGCCATCAGTTTCACGGATTTCCCCGAAAGCACTGAAAGGCTCTGTAAGCGCCTGCAGACCCAGTGTTCCTGAGGCCCTGACCGTCTTTGCAGTGCCTTCTCCAAGTTGCCCTGACTGAACCTTCTCGTGCTGCCATTTTGACCCCTCTCTGCCTGTCGTTCCTTGAAGTAGTTACCTCTCCCAATAGTCCCACCCTCCCCATTCCGAGTCTAAGTTTTCCCCCTCCTTCAAGGCCTGCACACTGCTGAAGCCTTCCTGATGATTCAGAAAGCCACTTTCTTCTAGGACGATTATTGGCCTTATTGGAGTGGTGGGAGAGAGAGACTAGATTACCTTGGGTTAAGGGATTAAGAGGCCAAGCACTTAGTGCGGGCTACTCTTGAGAAATTTTAGACTGAAGAAGAGAGACTTCTCAGGGTTGAGCATACTCTATTTTTTTCTAAAAAAAAGAACGAGTTGAGAAGAAGAGACGCAGTAGGTGAAGAGGAGGTGAAAATCGGTAGAGCAAGGCCTTGGAGGTAACAGCAAAGAACGGAATCAAAGCCATAGCCAGGAGTAACTTTAGAAGAAAGTCAATTCCTCTAATTTTCCCAAACAGTTTCTCTTTCTTTTCTGTCCCTTGGGAGCTGCTGCCTGCCTGATGAGCACCTGTTTTCTAGCTGATAGCTTCCTTAAGACTGCAGGGGTTTTTCTTGTTTTTGTTTTTTTTTGGTCTCTTTTGATGTCCAAGAATCAGGTTTCTGTTCATCCACGTAGAGTCTTCTCTAGAGGACAAAAGGCCTTTTCTTTTCTGTCCCGGAGAGGGATAGAGCAAGAGAGAGGGAAAGTGAGAAAGCAAGCTGCCAGATCCAGGACTCGAACCGCAGCCGGCCATGTGGAAATCCAGCAGCCCTTACATCCATAGAAGTAAAGGCACTAGATCCAAATGACCATCTGCGTGGTTCATGTCCTGGACCCAGTGGCTTAGAAACTATGCTGGGCGTGTGTGTGCATGAGCCGAAAATCTCAAGAAGAGAGTGAAGGAGAAGGGATTGCAGCATGGCCATTCCTCCTGGGAGATGATTTCTCACTTTGTCTCTCTATCTCTTTGTTTCTCTCTGGTGAGCAGGTGTGCCCTACAGCAAAAACTTAAAAAAAAAAAAAATCAGTGCTACCTAACATTTTGCAATAGTATGTGCAAAGCATGTGGCATAGAAACATCTGTTTATGTGAGATCCTTTCAAAAGCTTAGCAGAAATGCTGTGGTGGCCGTCAGCCTCCATGTTCCTTCAGGCGTATGGAGTGACAGGGACATTGCAGAGCCGGGACACAGGGAGAAAGATCCATTGCCACAATCAAGGCATTTCATGCTGCACTTTTGACTAAAACTTGTCCTTTTCTCTTTGAACCCAGGTCGGAAAGGCGTCTTCACTGGAAGCTCGGGGCTGCAGGTCGCGTACCTGAGCGGGACCGAGTCCTTGAGCGAGCCAGTTCCAGGTTACAGTTTCAGTCCCAAGGACGTGTCTTCCCTGAGAACAATGCTGTGCTCAGCACCCCAGTTTAAGGGTGTCGATATCTTGCTCACATCCCCGTGGCCCAAGTATGTGGGGAACTTTGGGAATTCTTCTGTGAGTAATGCCTGTTCAGTTGGACTTTCTAAAAGCAAATCTTACTGGCTTACATTGGACTTTTTTTCCCTTCCTATATTGAGTATCTTAGCTCTTGGTACCTTTCACTGGAAGTCTTTTGGGAAATTTTTAGGATTCTGAAAGCTATATTGATGAAAAGCAAAAGCTGCTTTAATAGAAGTGTGGTTCACTGATGCCATGGCAGCAATCTTAATTATAAATGAATGGTTCTTTAAATAGACCCTTTTTTGGGAGAGATTTTTGCTACAGGGCGTGTGCATTTGCTGGAGAGACAGGGAGACAGAAAGCAAGAAACCACCCCCTGGGAGAGATGGCCATGCCACAGTCTCTTCTCCATTCTCCTCTTGGGATTTTGGGCATGCATGCACACACACCCGGCGTGAATTTTTAAGTTGCCGGGTCTGGGACTTGAACCACAGTCAACTATGTGGGAGTCCAGCAACATAACTATTATGCCATCTTCTGGTCCTTCAGAATTTTAAAAAAATTGAATTATGGGGGCCAGCAGTTGATGTAGTGGTTGCGTCGCTGGACTCCCACACAGCTGCCTGTAGTTGGGGTCCCAGACCTGGTGGCTTCAAACACTCCCTGCCAACTTCAGCACCATGTGTTCAGCACCCAGGGAGGCCAACACTGTGAGGGAGAGTGCTGAAAGGGAAAGGCCCCAGTTATGTTTACCCTCTTGTATGTGAGGTAGTGCTGGTGACAGCGAGGATAGAGATCAGAGCTGGGGACATTCCAGAGAGGGGCCACTGAAGCAAGGTGGGAGGAGGAAGCATGATGCTCTGTGAGGAACGATGAGAAAACGAGACCCCTTCCTTCTGGAGGGAGTTTAAAGGGAATGTTGATCAAAGTTTATAAATAATCATACAGGGACCAGCAGATGGCATAATGGTTACGTTGCTGGACTCCCACATGGTTGACCACGGTTCGAGTCCTGGACCCGGTGGCTTAAAACTCAGGCCAGCCTCCTGTGCACGTGTCCTCAAAATCCTGAGAGGGGAATGGAGAAGGGATTGTGGTATGGCCGTCCACTCAGGGGTGATTTCTCAATTTCTGTCTCTTTGTCTCTCCTGTGAGCTCATGCAACCTATAGCAAAGGTCTCTCTAAAAATAAGTAAATAAATAACCATACAAAAATTATTTTTAAAAATTTTTGCTGTAGATGTGTTCACCAGAGAGAGACACAGAGAGGGAAAATGAGAAATCATCCCCCATGGAGACAGCCATACTACAATCCTTCTCTATTCTCACCTTGGGGTTTTGGGCACACACGCACATATGCCTAGCCAGAATTTGTTAATTGCCAGAGGGTGCACTTGTCAGAGAGAGGGACAGAGAAAAAGAGAAAACACAGAGGGAGAAAAAAGCACCCCCAAGGGAATGGTCATGCCACAAGCCCTTCTCCATTTTTTCCATCGTGTCGGAATTTGGGCATGCATGCACATGCACCTGGCATGTTTTCAGGCCACCAAGGCCGGGTCTGGGACTTGAACCATGGTTAGCTTTGTGGAATTTGCTCCCTTAACCACTAAGCTACAGGGCCAACCCACCATGCAAAATATCTATGGGGGAGAAAACAACGTAGTTCACCAGCCCCTAAGAAACTACAGCTGACTTCAAGGCTAGTTCTCTGCTCTTTAGCAGAAAGTCGAAAGAGGCAGGCGTAAGTCAGAAGGAAGGTCCTTGGGCCCAGCTGTGGTGGCATGCTGTCTGGACAGCATGGATGGCCCGGGTTTGGTTTCTGATCCAACCCAAAGGTTTGTGCCTGTAATTCAGCCACCATGGAAGCCGGGGCAGGAGGGTAATAGTTGGAGCCTGGCCTGGCAACAAAATAAAACTGTTTCAAAAAGAGCCAGGCATGGTAGCTGCACTTGTAGTCCCAGCTGGGTGGCTGAGCAGGAGGACTGAGAAACAGTGACACTATGGGAAATAAACATCTAATGTCTCTATCTCCAGCTAATATCTTACAATAGAGTTTATTAATAATGTTATAGATGAGGAATTGTGTAATTGCTTATTAACAGAAGCTGGGGATGTTCTGAGAGAAAGCTGGTCTTTTGATAAACTTTGTAATGGGGTGGGGTTGTGCCCTTTCACAAACCACCGCTTCCTTGACTGAAGCAAAAGAAAGGATTGCAGGTTTCTGTGATGAGGCCTTAAATATTCCACACCAAATATTCTGATGATCCTAGAGACCCTGAAAGCTAACTCTTTGTTTTTTGTTTTGTTTTGTTTTAGGTTTTTGCCACAGAGTGTGTGCGCTCGCCAAAGAGAGACAAGAGAGACAGAGGGAAAGTGAGAAATAACCTCCTGGGGGGATGGCCATGCTGTAATCTCTTCTCCGCCATTCTCCTGGGATTTCGGGCGCACATGCACACGTGCCCGTTGTGAGTTTCAAGCGGCCAGGTCTGGAACTCGAACTGCAGTTGGCCATGTAAGAGTCTAGCGCCATAACCACCATGCCACCCGCTGGCGCCTACTTTTCATTTTCTGCATTGACTGTAACTGCACTGTGAGAGCTCCAGGTGCTCTGTAGAGCGCCTTACAGAAGCAGTCTGGCCACTAGGGAGAGTGGGCTTCCCAGAAAATGTTGTAATAATCAGCTTAGGTATTAGTACGAAGGAGTTACTTTTAACTTCTGGTACCCAACACTTGTTCTTATTTCTGCTTTCATGATAATCCAGTTTCCTGATGTGTTTGACTTTTCTCTGACTACTATAAGTGTGAAATTTGCTGTACAGTTCCCTTCTGCCCCATTCATGTCCAGGTATAAATTACGAAGATAGTCCACAGTGTCTTGTTACTGCTTTGCATTGTTGATAACTCTTGGGTCTGGATGGATAACTGAATTTTATTTACTAGGGAGAAGTGGATACCAAAAAAAGTGGTTCTGTGTTGGTCTCCAGTCTCGCCACGAGCTTGAAACCAAGATACCATTTTGCTGCTTTAGAAAAGACCTATTATGAGAGGCTTCCATATCGGTGAGTAGCATTTTGTTCTTTTTGCTTTTTGAAGACTTCACCCTGGGTCTTTTGCGTAAACTTCTCTTGTTCATTTTTAGCTGTTTAATATCTTGGTTCCTTTTGGTTGCTCAGGCACTAAAATGATTAACTCTGGAGCCATTCAAGTTCTCTGAGTTTGTTTCCTAATTTGAAATACAAGGGGTTAGACTCAGTGTTGCTCTTTATAGCACATGGGGTCCTGTTTTTATCTGATCGAGCAGATACTCTTTGTATAGTCTTGAAAACTCAGTTCTAGGTGTAATCAGAGTATTTCAGTTTGGGATTAAGAACTTGTATTGGGGCCGGCAGGTGGCATAGTGGTTGAGGCCCTGGACTCCCACATGACTGACTGTGAGTCTTGGATCTGACTGCTGGAAACTCCTGCTGGGTGCATATGTGTGGGTACCCAAAATTCCAAGAGGACAATGGAGGAGAAAAGAATACCACATGGCATTCCCTCTGGGGGGTGATTTTTCTCTTTTTCTCTATCTATCTATTTCTCCAGTGAGCTCACATGTCCTATTACAGAAATCTCTTAAAATAAAAAAAAATAATAACTTTAATTTTTTTTTTTTTTGGTTTGGATTTAGAGGTATATTTTTATTTATTTATTTTTAAGAGAGGTTTTTTTGGCTGTAGGTTGCATGTGTTTGCTGGGGAGACAGAGAGAGGCAAAGAGACAGAAAGTAAGAAATCACCCCCCAAGGGGGAATGGCCACACCACAGTCCCTTCTCCTCCATTTTCCTGTTGGGATCTTGGGCACGCATATACGTGCACCTGGCGTAAATTTTAAGCCGCTAGGCCTGGGACTCGAACCATGGTCGACTACCTGGGAATCCAGTGATATAACTATTATGCCATTTGCTGGTCCCACATTAAATAAAATAATTCTTTTTTTTTTTTTTGGAGAGGTTTTTGCCATAGGGCGCGTGCGCTCGCCAGACAGACAGAGAGACAGAAAGCGAGAAATCACCCCCCAGGGGGGATGGTCATGCCGCAACACGCGCCCGGCGTGAGTTCTAAGCCACTGGGTCCGGGACGCGAACCGCGGTCGACTACGTGGGAGTCCAGCGACATAGCCATTACACTAACTGCTGGTTCCCTAATGCTCGTGTGTTTTGAATGGGAATGGTGCAGCCTTTTTAGAAAACTGTTTGGCATTTTTGACCCAGCAATTCCACTCTTATTTCAGGAGAGATAAAGACGTATATCCATTTAAAACTTCTACACAAATGATCATAACAGCATTATAATAGCTGAAAAGTGGATCTAACCAGTTGCCTATCACCTGATGAATAGATCAATAAAAAGTGGTATATCAACAAGGTGGAAGTTATTTGGCAATAAGACGGGTCAGAGTATTGATACATGCTACAGCATAGTTGGACCTTGAAAGCAGTATGCTCAGTGAAAGAAGCCAGACACATAATACCACATATTACATGATTCCGTCTATGTGGAATGTCCACATAGTCAGATCTATAGAGATAGAAAGTAGGTATCCGTGGAGATGGAGAGCTTGAGGCTAGCCCATGGCCTGATGGTGAAGGTGGCCAGATCCTACGTGGCCAGATGTATGGCTCAAATCCCAGACCGGGACAGCTTGAAAAGCATACTAGCAATGTGTGTTTGTGCCCAAAATCCTGAAAGGAGAAGGGGGGATTGCAGCATGACCATGCCCCTTACAGAAGAACTTTTTTGCTTTCTTTCTCTCTCTCTCTCTCTGTCTCTGTCTCTTTGGTGAGTGTATGTGCCCTCTGACAAATTAAGGGTGGGGGGAAGAGGTTACTTAGGGCTAGTTTGAGGTGAATAGGGGATGATTTCTCACTTTCCCTCTTTCTGTTTCTTAAGATGCTCACCAGAGAGAGAGCAACAGAGACAGTGAGACGGAAAGTGGGAAATCACTCCCTACAGGGGGATCACCATGCTGCAATACCTTCTCCTTCATTCTCCTCTTGGGATTTTTGGGTGCACATGCACATGTGCCCGGTGCGATATTCAAGCTGCCAGGTCTGGGACTCTCACTTTGACTGACCACGTAGGAATACAGCACTTCAACTACCATGCCAAATGCTGGCCCCTAAACTTTAGGTCTTGAGAGAGACCCACACATATATGCACACAGGGACCCCTAACAGGGTCTCATTGTGCTCTGTACCTCACCCTAGCATTCTAGCCAGCCATGATCATGAGTATACCTGTGGGCAGGCGTGACGTGTTCAGGTCAGCCTGGAGTCAGACTCGGGGTCTCCCCGTATGGCTCCAGCATCAGACAGTGGCACCCTCCCGTCTGTGCCGTCACAGCTAGGCTTCTTTCTGGTGTTCATTATTTTAGTTTTTAATACACAGAAGAAGAGGGAGTAGTGAAATGAACCCTCCCATGACCTTGAAAGAGCTTCAACACTTATCAACATTTTGCACATTTTTTTTCATAAAGCTGTCTAAGGGCTTCCTTAATTCATTTATTTAAGTATAATTTACTGTAGGACACATATGCCTACCCTAGTGAGACACACACACACGGGAGGGGGGGAGTGAGAAAGCACCCCACAAGGATGGCCACGCCACTAGCCCTTCTCTTCCATTCTCCTTTTGGGATTCTGGGCATGTACAAACACTCACCCAGCATGTTTTTCCAAGCATTTGGGTCCAGTACTCAAATCGTACTGTCAACCATGGAGAATCCAGCCACCATAACCACTGAGCTCCGGGCTGGCCCCATTTTGCCAATGTTACAACTTTTAAAAAAAAATTTTTTTTTTTGAGAGGTTTTTTCACTATAGGGCGTGTGCACTCGCCAGACAGACAGAGAGAGACAGAGAGACAGAAAGTGAGGAATCACCCCCCAGGGGGGATGGTCACGCCGCAATCCCTTCTCCTCCGTTCTCCTCTCGGGATCTTGGGCACGCACGCACATGTGCCAGCGTGAGTTTTAAGCCACCGGGTCCAGGACATGAACTGTGGTCGACTACGTGGGAGTCCAGCGACATAGCCATTACGCTAACTGCTGGATCCCAATGTTACAACTTTTTTAAAACCAAAAGTTGAAGTTTTGGTATTGTTCAGAGATGTAATCTTATCATTTCCTAATGATAGCCCTGTGGGGTGGGGATTGCTTCTCGCCTAGATGGGATAGGTAACATTTTCTCAGTAGATAGGTGACTTATCTGGGATTATGTGACTTAGGGGGATGGATTCAGGACCTCTGCTCTTTTTATGGCCTCATGGAGTCTGCATATTTCACAACTGTGAATCCGAATTGCAGTGTTGCTAGCCTGTTCTCTCATATGTTCTAGAAACCACATTGTTCTACAGGAAAGTGCACAGCATGCTACCCGCTTCATAGCCCTGGCAGACGTTGGAAATCCAGAGAAGAAAAAGGTAAAGATTGGATTATGTGGTGGTAGGTTAATCATCACCTGTGGCATAATGGTTACATCATTGGACTCCAATGTAGTTAACTGCAGTTCAAGTCCCGGACCCGGTGGCTTAAAACTCACACCGGGCTCATGTGCATGAGTGGCCAAAATCCCAAGAGGAGACTGGGGAAGAAGGGACTGTGGTGTGGCCATCCCCCCTGGCAGGGGGTGATTTTTTGCTTTCTGTCTCTGTGTCCTTCCAGCGAGCACACACACCCTATTGCAAAACACTCTCTCTCAAAAAAAGTTCATCTTCCTGATACATGTCTACCTCGCCCAGTCTGCCATTCATGATTTCCTAGGGCCAAGAGTAGCCTCCTGTGGATGGAGATAGGTAAAACGAGAGCAGTCGGCCAAGTGGAAGTAGGTAGGGAGCTGACCTGAAGACAGCACCATGGTGTGGATGACAAAGTACACGAGGGTGATAGGCTCAGAGGTAGAAGCAAGGGCTACAGAGGAAGCTCTTTGGGCCGCATTGTGATGGTTGTCATTGTCCCCTTGTCTGAATGACGACCCCTGCCTTGTGCAATGGCTGGGCTTTGCTTTGTGACTCATTACTGGTCATCTTTGGTTAGTTAGCCCTGGAGAGGGCACTTAATTGGCATTTGTGTATTCAGTGAGCCCCAGGTGGGCTGGTTGCTGTTCCCCTTCTTTTTTTTTTTTTCTTCTAAAGTATTTTATTTATCATCATTATTTTAAAAAATTTGACTCGAAAGAGACAGAGAGAATGAGAGAGAGAGAGAGAGAGAGAGAGAGAGAGAGAGGGAAAGTGAGAAAGCAAGCCACCAGGTCTGGGACTCAAACCGCTGTCGGCCATGTGGCAGTCTAATGCCTTAACTCCTATGCCACCTTCCAGCCCCACGGTTGCTGCTCTTCTAATTTTATTCAGTTTCGGATGTTTTGTATGACATTTTTACAATGAAATAGTTAACTACATTTGGAGTGATACTATTTTCTCTAATGTTGTTGTTATTTTTTTTTCCTCGAAAGTACCTTTATGCATTCAGTATTGTTCCTATGAAACTAATGGATGCAGCGGAACTGGTCAAACAGCCTCCAGATGTCACTGAAAACCCTTACAGAAAACTTGGGAAGGAAGCCTCCGTAGGAAAGCAAGTTCCTGCCCCTGAGGTATGTTCTGCTCGAGGGTGGCATCTGGACGGGATTGCCCGTGACGGCTGTGCTTCTTAGAGTTGGACTTTAGTGCATAAGTGGAGTCCTTGGGATTAAAATCTGCTCATTTTTTTACTGTGAAGTCAGGGTAGTGTTTAGGAATCTAAATAGATTTCAGCTAAGCTCATTTTCTTTTCTTGTATTGATAGTTTGAGGCTAACAGTTTCAAATGTTCGGTCTTCTTTTATCTATGCTTAGTTCATATGGTGAGGTTACAGTTTCATTTATTAAGCCTTTTTCTTGTCCAAAGTTGATCATCTGTTTGTCGCTTTTTAGGTGAAGATCCAGCTTGGTAGCAATGTAATTTAGATTTTATAATGATTACTGATACACAAATAAGATTCATCCTGAAGAATTTTTATTTTCTAGAGGGCCATGTGTTTGCCAGGGAACAGAGAGAGGGAGGGAAAGTGAGAGCGACCTCTCCCTGGGGCATGGTCGTGCTGCAGTCTCTGCCTCTCCTTTCAGGATACTGGGCACAGATGCACGTGCACCCAGTGTGTTTCTCAGTCTGCCGGGGCCAGGGCTCCAACTGTGCTGTCAGCCATGGGGCATCTAGCTGCCCAACCTCTATGCCGCTGGCTGGCCCAAGAAATTTTCTTATTAGCAGACTCTTATGCAGTTAATTCTTTCCCCACAAGGAGTACCCAGTTCCCTCATGGTCTGCTTTTTCAGACTTCTTTCTTTCTTCACAAACAGACTTTTTTTTTTTTTAATAATTATTTACATAATTTTATTATTATTATTATTATTATTATTATTATTATTATTATTTTAATTTGCTGTAGGGCACATGCATTCACCAGAGAGACGGAGAGAGAGGGAAAGTGAGAAAGCAAGCTGCCAGGTCTGGGACTTGAACCTTGGTTGACCCTGCGGGGATCCAGCAACTTAATCACCATGCTACATGCTGGCACAAGAGCAGACTTTTACCTCTTTAATTAAAGCTGAATTAGAATTGTTTGACCTCTGACATTGTAGGATTATATTCTGTCCCTATTGAGAGAGAAAGGAAAAGGAATTTAGGGAGCGCACATTGTTCTAAGAAGAATTGCTGTATAATTTGCATTTTAAGTTGTTTTTCCAAAGAGATGAATTTGGCAGTAGCTGGGTATGTGTGGAGGTGTGTGACAAAGTTCTGCCATCAGGGTTGGGAAGGTCCTTTTGTTTCCCAGAATATGCAAAGAAGGCTGAGGGGAAAGGTAGGCATGGCAGAAATGTTCCCTTGGGTGTCAGTGGTTGGCTACTGGTCTAAAGGTTAGTGGAATGATAGTTACTCTTCTGCCTTTGCCATTCCAGGAAGAATCAGCCTGTCAATTTTTCTTTGATTTAAATGAGAAGCCAGGAAGGAAGCGATCTTCCACAGGCCGAGATAGTAAATCGTCTCCTCACCCAAAGCAGCCTCGCAAACCTCGTAAGTACCTTGAGCAACCACTGTTATTTGAGGTTTTACTTGGAAAACGGCATTGCTAAGAGAGTCTCTTCTAGGAGAGGAAGATTGTACAATGAGTCATTAGGGCCAATAGTAAAAATAAAATAATATAAAGATGGCCTAAAAAAAAGGCCTGACTTTAAGGCTCTTCCTTTAAAATCTCCTTTCTTTTTTTTTAAAAAAAAAGAATTATTTTATTTAACTTTACTTGTTTATTTATTTTAATTTGATCAGTGAGGGACAGAGTGAGAGTGAGAGAGAGAGTGAGAAAGCAAGCCACCAGGTCTGGGACTTGAACCATAATCAGCCATGTGGGAGTCCAGTGCCCTTAACTACCATGCCCCCTGCCGGCCCTTCTTTCCTTTGTATCTGTAAAACTCCTTCCTTGGGCTGGCCCTGTGGCGTAGTGGTTAAGGGAGCGAGATTCCACATAGCCAACTGCCCTATCAGTTTTCAAATCCTGGACCCAGAGGCTTTTAAAACAGGCTGCACCTCCAATTCCCAACAGTATGGAGGAATGCAGAAGAGATTCTTGCGTGACCATGCATGCCCCTTTGGGGGTGCTTTCTTCTCTCCTCTCCTCTCCTTCCCAGCCACTATCTCTCTCTTCCTCTTTCCTCTCTATTGACCATATGCACACTCTTTTTTTTTTTTTGAGAGATTTTCACTGTAGGGCATGTGCGCTCGCCAGACAGACAGAGAGAGACATAGAGACAGAAAGCGAGAAATCACCCCCCAGGGGGGATGGTCACGCCGCAATCCCTTCTCCTCCATTCTCCTCTCGGGATCTTGGGCACGCACGCACACGCGCCCGGCGTGAGTTTTAAGCCACTGGGTCCGGGACACGAACTGCGGTCGACTACGTGGGAGTCCAGCGACATAGCCATTACGCTAACTGCTGGTTCCCCATATGCACACTCTTGACCAAAAAAAAAAGGGAGAAATCTTGCATTTATTTGATTGAATTTTATTTATTTATTTAAATTCGACCAGAGAGGGACAGAGTGAGAGAGAAAGTGAGAAAGTAAGCCACCAGGTCCAGGATTCTTTCTGCCGTGTGGAAGTCCGAATCCCTTAACCACCATGCCACCTGCTGGTCCCCTAGTATATGTACATAAAACAATAGGCTAATCAAACTGGGAGGAAGGACTTCAAGACTGTTTCATTGATACCTTCTTTCTCCACTCCATTTTTTTGGTAGAGGTTTTTGCCATAGGGCGCGGGCTCTCACCAGGAAGACAGACAGAGAGATAGAAAGCGAGAAATCACGCCCTGGGGGGGATGGCCACGCCGCAATCCCTTCTCCTCCATTCTCCTCTCAGGATCTTGGGCATGCATGCACATGTGCCTGGCATGAGTTTAAGCCACTGGGTCCAGGACTGGAACCGCAGCCAGCTACATGGGAGTCCAGCGATGTGACCATTATACCATCTACTGGTCCCCATTCCTTTTTTTTTTTTTTTGTTTTTTTACTTTTGGGCACGTGCGCTCGCCAGACAGACAGAGACATAGAGACAGAAAGCGAGAAATCACCCCCCAGGGGGGATGGTCACGCTGCAATCCCTTCTCCTCCATTCTCCTCTCGGGATCTTGGGCACGCACAACACACGCGCCTGGCGTGAGTTTTAAGCCACCGGGTCCGGGACACGAACCGCGGTCGACTACGTGGGAATCCAGCGACATAGCCATTACGCTAACTGCTGGTTCCCCCCATTCCCTTACTTTTAAGGTTGACTCGCTGGGGAGACAGAGAGACAGAAAGTGAGAAATCACCCCCCCCCCCAGGGGGGATGGACATGCTGCAATCCCTTCTCCATTTTCCTCTCAGGATTTTGGGCATGCCCTGGTGTGAGTTTTAAGCCACTGTGTCTGGTACTCAAATTGCAGTCGACTGCTGTTTGACATAACCAATACTCTTACTGGTCCCCAGTGTTCTTTCTTTATACCTTGCTACTGTGGTCAGTGTGTGGTTGCTTGCGGATCCCTCTCCTATAGGTCAATTACAGATGTAGAACTTTCTGATAGAGGTTTAATGTCACTGGCAATGGTGGCAGAGAGTCCTAGTAAGGAGGATGGTGGGCCTGGCCCATTGGAGCAGTGCTGTGGGCCACTCTTGGCAGGATGTGAAGATAAGCAAGGCCCAGCTCTGCAGGGTGATCTCGTGCTGGTGGTGCTCGGATCGCAGTAACACTTGCCTTTCTTCTCCCATGAAGCACAGCCTCCGGGACCCTGCTGGTTTTGCCTGGCCAGCCCTGAAGTGGAAAAGCATTTGGTGGTCAACATTGGCACACACGTGAGTCACTCCTGTGGACCTTTCGTAGAAGAGATGCCTATTTGCTTTATTGAAGCACCATCTACTCATTTTCAGTGTGCAATTCGATGGTTTTTAGTCAGTTTGCTGACTGAACCATCACATCGTATAGTGCCGGAACATCCCAGCACTCCAGTGAGGTCTCTTAAGCCTGATTATGGTGAATCCCTTTGCTTGTCGTATCCCAGGCAACCAGTCTGCTTGCTACCTCCAGCTGTTTGCCTTTTCTGGACATCTCATGCCACCGAATGGCACATATGTGGTGTGTTGTTTCTGGCTCCTTTTACTTAGCATAATCTTGAAGCTGTTCAATACTACATGGTGTAGCACGTAGTATTTTACCCCTTCTTACTGCCAAATAGCATTCCATTATGAGCACATTTTGTCTGCCTGTCTGTCCGCTCATCAGCTGATGGATGGATGTTTGGGTCGTTTCTACTTTATGCCTGTTAGGAATATTGCTGCTGTGAAACATTCTCATTCGAGTTGTGTGACATATATTTTCATTTCTTTTGGCTAGACCCCTAACCAAAAATGGAATGAATTGCTGAGTTATGAGGCAAATTTACCTTTAACTTTTTAGGAAACTATTAAACTATTTTCTTTATTTTTAGTTTGCTATAGTATGTCTGCAGTTCTAGGGAGAGAATGAGAGAGAGAGCAGAGGGGAGAGAAAGAAATCACCCCCACCCCCCACCCCAAGGGGATGGCAATGCTGTAGTCCCTTCTCTTCCATTCTCCTTCTGGGATTTTGGGTGCACACGCACATGTGCCCAGTGTGATTTTTGAACTACTGGGTCTGGGACTTGAACCATGAAATCAGCCATGTGGGATCCAGCTGCTTTAACTTCCATGCCACCTGCTGACCCTAAACTGTTTTCTGTAATGATGGCGCCATCTTACATTCTCACCACAGTGTGAGAGTGTCTGTTTTTCTACATCCTTGCTAACATTTATTGTCTTTTTGACTATACCAATCGCCTGTTTTGTAAGATAGCTCCCTCTTCACTCTCTCACAAATAGGAATGGTTTTTCTAGGGTGATGTTTTTATGTACTTCTTGAACCCCCTATGTTTTTAGTTCATAATACTTGGGAGCAATGTGTTGCTTTTGTTAATTTCTGAGTATCTGAAATAAGGACCAGGGTCAGTAGGTGGTGTGGTGGTTGAGGCACTGGACTCTCACGTGGCCAACCACAGTTCGAGTCCCAGACCTGGTACCCTGCTTTTGTACTTTTGCTCTCTCCTCTCTGTCTCTCTCTGGTGAGCCCACATACCCTATATCAAATTATTATTACTATTTTTTTTTTTGGTAGAGGTCTTCACATTAGGATATGTGTGCTTGCCCGAGAGAGAGATAGAGATAGAGAGATAGAGGCAGAGACAGAGATGAGACAGTAAGAGGGAAAGTGAAAAATCAACCCCCCCATGGGGGATGGCCACGCTGCAATCCCTTCTCCTCCTTTTTCCTCCTGGGATCTGTGGTATGCACACATACCCTACCAGTGTGAGTTTCAAGCCACCATATCTTGGACTTGACCCAAGATCGGCCATGTGGGAGTCCAGCAATATAATTGCTATCGTTCCAAAAGGAGAGTCTTCTGTTGCTTATTCACCTATATTGTATTGAAAATGTTGATACTCTTTTTTTTTCTTCTAAAGTTTATCTCTCCAGTTCCTCAGTGAGTGAGAAATTCAGAGAGACAGAGCCTCCAACAGGGTTTGCTGTTGCAGTTGCCCCCGGCCCCCTCTTCAGCCAGCTCTGGGTCATGGGCATGACTGTGCCCAGCATACTCAGGGTGGCCTCTGGACTTGAACCAGAAACGTTTCCTCGTGGGATTGCCTTGCAGAGTGTCACATTTGACCACTGTGCCACTGTGTGGGCCCAATATTTTTATAGCTTTAGATTCAGAAATTGAGCTTATCCTTTTTGCCAAGCCAGTCAAGAATGATCATGCTTTAATTTGTTTCCAGTATGTATCCTAGCATTATTTTAGACTTTGTCATAGTAAATGAGGAATAAATGACTTCTTCCTCCAGCCTTAACTTTGAGCCTAGCATACTAAAACTGTATTTTGGATTGTTTTTTTCTAAAGGACCTGTTGACCTCTTGTCTGCTCACTCACGGTGTCTTCCCTTCAAAAAATGCCCGAGCAGGACCAGCAGTTAGTGTAATGGCTATGTCGCTGGACTCTCATGTAGTCGAACGTGGTTTGAGTCCCAGATCCAGTGGCTTAAACTCAGGCCAAGCGCGTGTGCGTGCGTGCCCAAGATCCTGAGAGAGGAAAATGGAGGAGAAGGGATTGTGGCATGGCCATCCCTCCTGGGGGGTAATTTCTTGCTTTCTGTCTCTCTGTCTCTCTGTCTTTTTGGCAAACGCATGTGCCCTATAGCAAAAACCTCTCCAAAAGAAAAAAAAAAATGGCAGAGCAGTAGAATAGTCCTGTATGTTTTGGTTTTGGCAGAAATGTTTTTAGGTACTGTTAAAGGCTGGCATCCATTATTGGGAATCATAGTCTTCATCTTGTTGGATGTATCTAAGTTTGAGCTGTCCCCTTCTTCCTTTTGCCCTATTAGGTTGTTTGTTTGCTTTTATTTTGTAAAGTTTAACCAGCTTCATAAGGCTATGGGAATACTGGATGCAGATCATGTTATTTTGGCCTTTTCCTATGAGCCTGTAGGGGATGTAGTGGTGGTGAGAATGTAATTGGGGATGGGGCCGGCAGGTGGCGTGGTGGTTAAGGGTGCTGGACTCCCATATGGCTGACTGTGGTTTGAGTCCCAGACCTAGTGGCTTGCCTTTGCTTTCTTGCTCTCTCACTTTGTCTCTCTCTGGTCAAATTAAAAAATAATAATAATAAAATAAATTTAAAAAATATTAGAATTGGGGGCCGGCCCATGTAGCTTAGTGGTTAAGAGAAGTTGGATCCCATATGGGCAACTGTGGTTTGAGTCCTGGCTCTGGTGGCTTGAAACACGCCAGACATGTGTGTGCGTGTGCTCAAAAGCATACTTATGTGCTGTCCAATTGAGTTGCTCCCACTTCATTTAATACTTGCATCGAAATGTGTAACATCTAACGGCACTCTTCAGCAGACACTGTTGCTGTAACCTCTACAATGAGAGTTCATTGTGGCAGCAGCTGAGTGGCACAGGAATGACCAAGAATAGAAATTGGAGACTTGGGGACCAGCAGGTGGCGTGGTGGTTAAGGCCCTGGACACTCCCACATGGCCAACTGGGGTTCAAGTCCTGAATCTGGTGGCTTGCTTTCTTACTTCCTTCCTCT